AAATAAAGATTAGAATAGACCTTAAAGTGTTGAGTACAATAATATGTGGCAAAGCAAAGTTGAGTAGAGAAGAAAATAAGGCTGAAAAAAGGATTTAGGAAGAAATAATTGTCAAGAAAATTGAGTAAATTTCCTAAAAGTCTCCAAATGTCTCCTTATGAACTGGGGAAACTCTTACTTATAGGTTTAAAGAATAAAAGTTATATGTTTTGAGTATTGAATAGTAATAATGGTGAAATTGACAGGTATAAAAGGTGTTAATATATTAAATATGAATAATAGTGAATAATGAAAGAATTGGCTATTACAAAAGGCGTTAATGTATTTGTTAATGAAAGTTTAATTAACTTTTAGTGATAGGTATAGTAAATATAAAAGTTCACTGTATGTTTTGAAAGAAAGGAAGAAGCATTCACATTTCAGTGAAAAGTTAAAAGGAAACCTTTGAATTATCTTCATATTTGATCCACTAAACAAAAACTTTGTCATATTCTAGAGTTATTTTCACTTTTCTTTTGATAAAATAACATTCGGTGAAATATTTTTTATGGAATAATTCCTAATAAAATAATTTTTAATGAAAGAGTTTTCGGTAAAGATATTGGTGTTGTTCCTTGAAGAAATTGTTTTGAGAATAGCTATTCTTCGAAGGTGTTGTTTCATGAAGGAATTATTTTTTGAATAGTTGTTCCTTCAACAGTTGTTCTATGAAAAAATTGTTTTATAAATGGTTGTTTTATAAAATAATGTTCACTGAAATAACCTTATCACTTGTTTGGACTTATCCTTAACTTCAACAACTTTAGAGAAATTTTAAAAAATAAAATATTAATAACAAACATCAAGTATCTACAATTGGAAACTCATAAATTTTTGAAAATAAATTGATACCTTATGCTGAAATTTAACATTACCCATATGCACTTTTCTTCCATAACTCAAATAAAGGTTAAATATAAAAATGTCCATGTACTATATATTTTTTATTAGTTTAGGCCCTAAAGAAATAAAATTTTTAATTTAGTACTCCAGTTTTTATTTCATTATTTACTTTGATACTTGAGACTAATATCGTTAATCAACTTATTGATGTGACATAAATATCTTTATTGATGTAGCATAAATATCTTATAAGATGCTAATACGTGTCAAAAAGTTCAATTAGTATTATATCATTAATGGTCATGTCAATATTTAAAAAGTTTACAAAAATTCACAAAAATTTAAAAATATTTTAAAAATATGAAATATTTTTAAAAATTATTAAAAAACTAAATATTTTAAAAAATAAAATTTAAGAAAACTTAAAAACTTTTAAAAAGCTTAAAATTTTAATAAAAAATCCAAATAAATTCAAATACATTATGAAAAATTCATAAAAATGAAAATTTTAATAAAAATAAAATTATCTTAAAATTAAAAAATCACTGAAACTTAAAAAATTGAAAATAAAAAATCTAATTTTTTTTGAAAAAATCTAAAATTTTTAAAAAATTTGTAAATTTTTTTTTAAAAATTATGAAATTTTTGTTTTTTTTTTTATAATTTACAATTTTAATTTTTTTTTATATATTTTATGAATTTTTTAGATTTTTTTGGATTTTTATTTAACTTTTAATTTTTTAACTTTTTTAAATTTTTAATATTTTTTAGAATATTTTAAATTTTTGAAAATTTTTTAATTTTTTTAATTTTCAAGAATTTTTATAAATTTTTAGATTTAAAAAAATAGATTTTTTTAATTTCAAAATTTTTAAAAAATTTTAGATTTTTTTATTTTCAATTTTTTTTAGTTTTTGTAAATATTAAGAATTTTTTATTTTTTTGAATTTTTCAAAAAATTTTAAAAAATTTTCAATTTTTCTTAAAATTTTTCAATTTTCATAATTTTTAAAATTTTAAAAATATTTCATTTTTCATTCACTTGATACTTAAAAGTAATTACGTGAGTCTTACTGGGAATTTGCCAAGATTTTACAAAGCCCAATAACCACGCCACAGCAGCTCAGCAAGAACTTCTACTTGGAAACTGAACTTTTTGACAAATAGTTGAATCTTGGGGTTTTGAGATTCTCTCCAAATGCCATGTGTTTGTCATCTAAACAATATTAAAAATATAAATTTTCATTATCAATGTTACACTAATCGAAATTAAAATCAAATTCGAAATGATTTTATCCCGATGTAATCTGAACTTTAAATTACCACTGCGTTTGATACATATATAATATTTTTTATATTTATATAGCTATATATGACTTTGCTTGAAATCGTATAACATATTATTGGTTTTATTATTCAAAACTTGTTTGTAATGATTTATAAATATTCAAAAACTGTAACAAAGATCGAGTACCTAAATTTAATCCGTCCATTTCTATTCCTACCTCCATGCCAAGATAATCCCATAACTTTGAGCTGTTTTGGATCATCTAAGATATCATTAGATACCATGTTGGTAATTCAACTTAGAATTTGTTGAGTTCTTATCCGATTTAATTTTATAGAGTTAATTTTTTTTTAATTTTAAATCGAATTTTAGATTGGATTGAATTGATTTTTTTATTAAAAAAATCAAGATCGAAGCAAGTTTTAGATAAATTCACTCTACCTGACTCGATATATATATATAATATTTTTTATTATTTATTTAATTATATATTTATTTAATTATATATTTATATTAAAAATATTTAATTAATTTTGAGTCAATTGTAATTTTATTCATATATGGATCTGTTATAAAAAATAATATTTTAATATCAAATTAAGTTTAAAATTTTATTATATAAAATCAAATCGATTTCGAAACAAATAAAAACTCGTTTCATCTCGACTCATTGTCATCTCTAAATATTATAATACGGTGTGGTGGACCGAGCCCATCTAGAAAGTTTAATACAACCTTAAGTGATATTTGGTATAAAATTATCATCTCAAAAATTATGATTATTAGATTATCATTTTTTTAAGTAAATAAAAAGATTATATTCATGTTATAATATTAGTAACATCAGATAACATCAGATAACACAGCTGATCTAATACAATCAGGAGTTTCCTCTACCCAAGAGATGCTCTTCCGTTAATGATAGTCCCTTCCTGGCTAGCACATGTGCTGCTTCATTGCCTTCTGTTAATGTGTGCTATCCACTCTATTTCCTGCCATCCTGTATTATTGGCCCAATGTATGAAAGCCCCTCTTCATCCTTCCTCAAACTGTTGATTACACTCAGTGCATACCCCTCCACAATTATCTGTATACATCCCAGCTGAGCTGCCATTTCCAGTGCTTTAACAGCAGCTAACGCTTCTACTATATTCACATCAGTCACCAGTTTCACGTTCCCTGCAGCTGCCCCTATCACTTGTCCACTATGGTCTCTTATCACTACACCAATACCCCCTTTTTTAAGCTGACAATCCATTGCTCCATCAAAATTGACTTTGATGTGGGTTCTGGGAGGAGCCAACCATTTTATGTGTCCCCTGGAAATTTGATAGCTGGTCTTGCATTGTGATGCTCTTCCAGATAAGTGACAGCCAATGAATGCTTGTATCATTCAGCTACTTATTCTCCTTTACCTCCAAGTGTTGACCATTCCAATTGGACCAAAGAACATCATAAATAGCTCAAAATCTATTTTGCTAAGAGAATTTGCTCCAAAATCCAGCCATTGTAGGACACTGTTGGCAGATGATCCAGCCTTTTGCTGCAAATTCGACCATGAAGCTCTCGAGGATCCTTTTAATTGTGCTCATAGACTTTTTGCCGGTCCTAGCTAAAAGGATTAAATCATCAGCAAAGAACAGGTGAGAGAGGTGAGGTCCTCTTCTTGAAACTTTAATTGGCCTCTATAGTTTTTCCTCGAAGGCCTCCTGGATTATGAGGTTAAGGAACTCCATGCAGAGGATGAATATATTGGGAGAAAGAAGATCACCTTGGCGGATTCCTCTAGTTGGCTGGAAACTCTTGAGTTTGCCCCCATTGACCACAATGGCCATGCTTGAAGTAGTAATGCAGTTCATGATCAAGTTTATCCATTCCCCAGGGAATTGAAAATAGGTAAGAACTTTCTTGATAAAACCCCATTCAAGTTTATAATAGACTTTCTCAAGATCAGTTTCAATAAGCATATCTCCATGCCCCTATTCTTTCCTTTTCATAAAGTGAATGACTTATTGTACGATGATCACGTTGTCCACTGCCTGTCTTCTTAGGACGAAACTTCCGTGCAGGGGCGATACGAGTTTCTCAAGAAGAGGTCTTAGATGATGGACCGGCACCTTGGCAACCATTTTGTAGGTAGTATTGAGAAGACTAATGGGACGGTAATGGTTGATAGATGAGGGTGACTTATTCTTTGGGACCAATGTGATTAGCGTCTCATTGATGCTTTCCTAGAGCTCGCCAATTTTGAAGAGGTCCAGGATTGTAGAACAGGCCTTCTGTTTGTCTTTCGACTAGCATTGTTGGAAGAAGAAAGGATGGCGACCGTCCGGCCCTGGAGCTTTGAAGGGTTTTAATGACCAGAGGGCCTTCTCAATGTTGCTTTCGGTAACCGGCAGTAACAACTGGCTGGCTTCTTCTCTCGTTAAGGCAGGCCACCTGAGATCCGTGGTAGGGCAACTTAACAATTCTTATGTTCTGTTTGTGGAGAAAAGGTTGGTAAAATAATATTTGATTTATAGTAATACTAAATAAAGTGTCCGGCAAAAAAAAAAACAATAATTTTAATTATTTAAAAATTAATGATTTTTAATTAAACAAAATAATTTTTAATCACGAATGATGAAATTACTTTAATAATAAAATTACCTCTATTAAATTATTATGCTAATCTTTATAATGACACCAGACAATATCTTAAATCTAGGGTAGACGATAGAGCGCCAAGCTTGAGCCACTTTGCTTGGGGCCGGGCCGCTGCCCATGCGATGCACCCCGATTGACAACATGCATGGCCCGCTTTATATATATATTGGCCTTGAAATATTTTTATTACAAAATATTCCTTGTCAAGTTGCAATTTGCACGCGTTTGGGCATTGGGTCAAGTAGTATAAAATCTGAAATTTTGCCGCAGCCTCTTCCTTTCTTCTTTGGTTAGAGATACGACCAAATCTTTCTCTCTTTTCCTAGATGCTTAGAAGAAGGAAATCTCTTCTTCTTGATTGATCGATTCATTTCGTCATCAACAAGAAGAAGAAAAGCTAAAAAAAGGAGAGGAGAGAAAGAAAGTTTCTGCCCCAGGGATAGAAAACGAGAGCATATATATCACCATGGACTTGACTTCGACAACGACGACATCAGCCACCGCTGCAGTTGTCAACGACAAAGAGTCAGTCGTTGATCCTTTCCTGGTTGAGGCTCTTCAAAATCCCCGTCATCGTCTCACCAGTAATTTTTCTTTTGCTTTATATTTCAATTTTGCGTTTTCATTCGATCTCTTTATAAGTTGTTTTTTTGAAATTTTTTTCTTTTTTCGAGTTTATGGTTTATCGTGTGTATGGGATTTAGATGGGATTTGTTTTAGTTGGGTCAATTAGGGTTAGGGTTTTTGTGAATAGAAAAGATTATTTATCAGATTTGGGTTTTGCTTTTCAATGATTTTTAATTGGGTGTTGAGAATTTGAGGGGGATAAGAAACAAGCTAAATTTGTTGCTTTTTTTATTTAATTCTGATGGCTTAATATTTGGTGCAATGCATGATTGAGCTCACCTAAAACAAAATTGAGTGAATGCTTTTGTTTTAATCGGTTTCCTCAAATAATTTAAAATTTTAATGAAATCTTTATTTCTCCTAAATTTTCCACTTGAATCAGTTATAGTACCTGTAATCTGACCAACATTTCAGATGCATCTACGACATACAGTTTAACTATAATCATGGCTACGTGTATTTTGACTGACCAAAATGTTTGCAGTTTTGCTGTTATTATTTTGAAAATCTATGTTGTCTTCCAGATTGGAATAGACCATAATTCTTTGTTCTGAGATTGTTCATGCAGAAGGGTTATGTTGTTTTTTATTATGTACTTCTGATATAGCTTTCTGATTTCTTCAATATGTGGGCCTTGAGAGGTTATGACTGCATATGCATTCTTCCAAAGGTCTAGGATGGGTTGTACATTGAAATATGGTAGTTTTATATTGTGTTTATTGGTATTATCCAGCTCCAAATAATCAATTTTAACTTGATGGGCCTTTTAGTTTGGACATATGACATGAGAGATTTGAAATTTGGTTCTGGTTTTTGGAAATGACATAAGAGGTGCACCAAGCTCAAGAATCTTAATTAATATAAGATGACCCTTGATTTTTATGGCTTTTAAATTGTTAGATCATAGAACCTTGAATGTGTGGGAAGATTTTCTATTTAATAAAGATATCAAATATGCAGAACGGAGATTAAAGTAGACTTTGTCATGTGCTTTTCAGCTTGAGATAGATAGTCTTGTTACATGATTCTCATGACATAATCAATATTTATTATCTTTAGCATTACTTGGGAGGGCGTTAAGGTTAATGGTCTCATTCAAGCATTAAAATAGGTTTCATAATTTTGGATTTCTTTGTGATTGGTATATTGATGGTAGCTGCTTGAAATATCACAGGATTTAGGGCTTTTAATGATTTAATAGGTAAGAATGTTAGGGCCAATCTATGCTGCATGGACTGGGGTGTAAAAGTTCAACATGCATATGTGCCCAACACAATACATTTAGTTTGGCCTTATATATGGAGGGTCGTACACTTAATACCCATGCCTATTTTGAGCTATTGACACAACTGCTTTAGGGCAAATAATACTCTGAGTGGCATAGTTTCCATTTTTGGTATAGCCAAAAAGTTTCTGTTCTGCTTTCCTTGCAATGGGTGTTAATCTTGCTATTTAAGCATCAGTGTTTTGGTATGTTAAGATTTTCTTGTTTAGGAAATATAATTAAGGTCTAATAAATCAAGTAGCTAATGTCTTTGTCAGTCAAGCATATAGTGGTGCAAAACTAACGATCTGATATTGTGTGTGCAGGGGTTTGTAATTAGCAGGAGACATGCCATGTCTCAACAAATATAGGCTTAATTAATAAAGCATATGTTCAGAGAAACATGTGCAGGGCTTTGAGAAACTGGAGACTTTTAGTTCCTTTTAATACACAAAATTTTATTCGATATAAATTTTAGTTGTTTTGTTCACTTTTAAAAGATTACAAGATTATAGGTTTTTCATGTAAATTTTAGTTTGATTACTAGTTTGGTATTTGTCCATGTAGCTGAAAATACAATTTCCATGATGGAGCAGTTGCCTGTTTTGATTTCTTGAGTTTACATGGGGTAGTTTCTAACAAGAAAAAAGATATGAGGAATAGTTCTCTAGCAGTAGGGAAAACAGGTTAGGAAAAGAGGTTCATTCAGATCCATTAATGAATGCTTATTGTGTACCTAGTGGATGCTTTGATAAAATACTGCAGTTGTCTACTTGTCTTCCTTATTCTCTTTTCTTTTGTTTCTCACATGTATGCATATTAGTGTATTTATATTGATATTTACTTCTTTTTTCTAGTGAACAAACTATTACAGGGCCTGGGAAATTATCAATTTAAGTGTTCTAGGGTTTAATTTCCTCATATTTATATTTTACCAGTGGTGTCTTCGTCTTTTCCAAATTAACCTTATGCATGGAATGTAAAATGGACAGAAAGAAAAAAGACAAAAAGAAGGACCACATTTTTGTTTACTCCTGTGGTTTGTTTATAGTATTATGCTGTATACATCTTATCAAGTGGTGCCCGTGCATGTTTAATCTTTCTTTAATTTGCTTTTCTCTTATAGTAGATTTACTGGATTTTTCTATTTTGTGGTTTTCTGGGAGTTAGTTCTGCGGATGGAACTTGATATCCAGAGGTTTTTGCAAAATTCTGACCAGAAGCAATTTGAATTCCAACATTTTCCCACTTCCTACCTTCGGCTTGCAGCACATCGTGTTGCTCAACACTATGGGCTGATAACTATGGTTCATGATAATGGTTTGGATGGCCTGGGAAGCAGAATCGTGGTGAAGAAAGTGGGTGAAATCAGATGGCCTGCTGTCCGTTTGTCTGAAATTCCAGATAAACACTCAGAAAATGATAAAACTGAGCAGATTAAAATTGCTATCAGGCCCCGGCCACATAATGGATCTGTAAATGAAGCTAATCAAACTGGTATCAAAAGAAGTCCTATGAGAAGTGTGGAAGAGAGGAAGGAAGAGTATGACAGGGCACGAGCACGTATTTTCAGTAGCCCTAACAGTCCTGATTCTGATGATTCTTCACCTCAGATATCTATTGATGGCAAAAATGAATCTCTTATCAGAGATGAAAGTGAAAATTACAGGAGCTTGATGGTTGAGCTAGAGAAAAATATTACGATCCGGGATGGCACATCTCGAGTAGCCATTTTCAGAGACAGAGAGAAGGATCGCACTGATCCAGATTATGACCGGAGTTATCAAAGGTGGGATTAATGCTCTTAGCATTTTAGGATTTTGGAGATTTCCAGGTGGTTGATTAGTATGTACCATGTAGTGTTGTTTCTGCAAATTCTTTAATTGACCAAAAATTTGTAAGGGCTCCTATCCCATTTTCTCATGAAAATATAGTGTAGGTAAGGTGCAAATGTAAAAGCACTGATGATTAGAATGATAAAATAGTTGCCTCTTTAGGAATGAAATAGGAATGATAATTGGTGGCACGGAATACGGAGTGTTATTTTGTACTGGGGGGTTTATTTTTAATTCTAAACTAAATTACTTTGAACTGATGCAGGTATGTTAGAAGCATTCCGAGCAACCAGAGCTTTGGTTTGGCTCCTTACAATATGCAGAAGATTCAGCTTCCATTCATGCAGTATGATTCTGCTTTTCCTCAGTTAGGTCAGATTGCAAGTACTCAAGCTTCCCTCTGTTATGGTGTTCCTGCAAGGCCAGCACTGGGGCCTTTTTGTGACCTGGGATTGAATCCAACTTCTAGCAATGGTGCTTATATGCAGTGGCCAAGTGCTACAATGATGTATTCTCATTCGCATGATCAGTTTAGAAATGATGTATTTCAGGTAGGCTGCAATTTCTTATTTTATCTATTATGCCAGAATTAAGCTAATGAGTTGCGTTTATTCTTTTATCTCAGTAAGCATTAGATTGGTGTCTTGTCCTTTGCATTCCTATGGTGTTGCATTTTGCTTCTATTTGCCAATTTGTTGGCAGAAGCTCATGAGAAATTCACTGGTATATTGGTTTTGTGATCTGACTTTGTTTTAAAAGTTTTTATCTGTTTTTTATTTATAATATATAAAAATCTATGGACTGTTCTTGTTTTTGTAGCAAGTATTCCAACTTCTGGTCATGTATGTAAATATGGATTTTTCCCTGAAATTTTTTGGTGAGTTGTGAAGTTGTTAAGCTTTGGTTTCTGGTTGTTGCTGTTTTGACCCTTTGCTGCATGTTGTTGTGCTTTTTCTTCGTGTGGCAGTGGTTATATCATTTTTTACAATTAAGACTCAGGTGTACCTGTATATTTTTTAACATTCCATTCAAATGGCTTTCTTGGTATTATTTGCAGGCTCCATTTTGTCATCAACCTCTGAGCTTCGATTACACGCAGAATGGTTAACGGTACTGCCACTTAACTGAGTTGCATCATGCAAATTTCTCTATCTGTTAGGGTTTAGTATTGCTGAATTGGTAGGTTCATTGTTTAAAGACACTCTTAGACCAAATATTCATGTTCATCTAGCTTCCTTGTTTGTTTTGTATTTTTTTATGGATTATGATTGTAGTTAAGGAATGTAACAATGATGCTTTTACACTGTTTGAAAACCTTGTTATTTTGGTTAATCAACTGGTGGGTGGGTGCCATATTGTGGGAGGAAACATTCTTCGGTCCTTTTTAAAAAAATTTTTTTTTTTTGTGATTTCGCGGCAATGGGGTACTAAGTTTTGCTCGGTACATCCTTTTTCTGGATTAGTCCAACTAAGTTTATTTACGTTGAGTTTAGCGAATTCATGAAAAATCATTTTCTCACAAAATTTGAACCCAAACAAAAAATGAGAAGTATAGTCTTTTTACCAATTGAGCCAATCATATATTCTCTGGTCCTTTTTACTATACCTACTTGCATGACTAGACTAGACTGGAATGTTATTAAACCCGCCACTCGCTTTGGTAGTAAAGGAAAGGAGGAAGAAGGTAAATGATTTAGAACGTTATTAAACCTGCCCCCCCCTCTTTGGTAGTAAAGGAAAGGGGGAAGAAGGAATATGTTTTAATCTAATGATCGAGTTATATAATATCATTAGCTATTTACAGTTTTAGATTAAAATTTTTTAATTTCTTTTTTTTTTTTTATCAAATGGATAATGGAAGAGAATTTTGTTATGAAGTCTGGACAATCTTAATCATAGTTTTTAGAATCTTAATAATAGTTATTAGTTTTTAGGATCTTAATCATATTTATCACCTAATAGAATAATTTTTTAGAATATTTATATTTTTAAATATTAATGTTGGTTTAATAATTATTCCATTAATCCAATGATTAAACCAATAAGCTACACTAATTGATTTATTATTCAGTTTGAATAATTATGATTTTAATGTACCTTCCCGTGGATTGTCGCATTGAAAAATAAACGGCTATTTCTGAACTTCAGAAAATTGAAAAAAATTTTTTCTTGGCTTCAGAAGGCCGTTAGACTAGAGTTATATGAGAAGAGTGTTTTTTTTTTTTTTTTTTTTTATCAATAATATATTCTTTTTCTTTTCATGATAAACCTAAAACTTTAATATGAGCAGTTGTTTGAAATATAAACAAATTTAATATTGAAAAATTAAATATTGAATTTTTAGTTTAAAAAATTTTAAGTACTGAATTAATGGTATACAAATTATTTGATGTGTTATAAAATCTAAATGTCAAATTTTTACCAAAAATTTATAAAAAAAATGCCATTTTATAAGTCTTTTTTTTTATTACTTTACTAAACGGACAATGCTTTTTGATCTTACACGTCCCTCTTAGTAAAAAAATTCATTGGATTTGGATTTAAATTAGTTAAAGTGTAAGGTCAAACAGCATTATTCAAGTTAAAAAGGCAAGAATAAGTGGTTAAAAGGAAATTATATTCGATTGATAAATTAAATAATTTTTTAAAAATAAAATTGACTTAAAAATATAAGATATTAAACATTTTTTCAACGAAAATCATAAAATTGTTTCTAAAAGAAATGATCAAACAAATTAAAAATTAAATAATCGGGAATTTAAATTTTTAATTTGTAAATTTTTAATGGTTTATCAAAATTTTAATAGTTGGATTGTCGGTATACTGTTCTCTTGAGAATAAATATTAAAATACTAATTTCATGAAAAATAAAATATTAGTAAAACCTAAAATAAATGGAGAATTTTTTGTTTTGCTTTTTTTTTTTCTTTTTAAGCAATGATCCATATATATATAAATATATATAAATATATATATATATATATTTCTGGACAATAATTAAAATTAGAAGTTAGTTTACCAATGTCATGATTCATCTACTTTTAGTTTGCAAAAACTCCTTATTCTTGAGAGTTCAAGATCAAGGGGTTGAAACCTTTAAGTGAGTGTTTGATATAAAGAGCAATCAATAAAAATATTATGGTGGTTTATGTATAGTGATTAAATCATTGTATTTGATAATTTTAATAATTTTATTTGACAATAATTTTGAATCATTCAGAGTAATTATATTATTGTTTTTAAAAGTAATCTAAATCTCATATAAAGGGATGAGAAATATTTATCACCAAATTAAAGTGATGCGTAAAATTAATTTGTTCATTTAATATATGAATTAAAAATTTGTTTCTTTTCAAAATTAATTGGCATTATTTTATATAATAAATTTTTATATTTTCAAACTAATAATCATTGTAATAAGTTCAAAAATTAATTTGTATGATTTCTTTTAATTTTTTTAGTTATATATATAATATAATCTTCTAATTTTAATATATTAGTTTTATTTTTTAATTCAAATATCTTTTTTACATAATTTATACTATAAAAAATAGTTTACCTATCAATAAATATTTTTAATTCAATAATTTAATTATCTTTTATCATGAAGTAAATAAAATATTATTAAATTTTACAAATTACTATATTTTTGGTACATAAGAGGCCAAAACCTAAGAAAAATTTGGAGAAAGAGAACTAGTAAGTGCTGGAGGTTGAATCCTGGCCTTGCTGAAAACCACCTCCTAAGGAAGATGGGTGAACCGTTTGGGGCTAACCCTGGGGTTCACAAAATACTATCTTTAAACAATATTAAAATTATCAACTTATATAATTATTTTGATACTTTGAAACAAAATAATGTTTGATTTTTAATAAAATATCAAACACAATAATATTTAATTTATGAGAATTAATGATTGCTAACTAAATAAAATAATTTCAAATTTCAAGCAATAAGATCATGTTAATAATAAGATTAACTCGATGATTAAATTATTATGGTGATCTTAAAAATGATAACAAATACTACTTAAGTAATTGGTAAGAATTGGGTAGAAACCAAGTGCATTTGAGTGAAATTGCAAACATTATACCTTAGCCTTGAAGAAATAGTAGATTGGACTTATTGATAAGAGAAAATAAAGAAAGCAAACATAAGTGCCTTAAAGATGACTAAACCCCGAGTGGCGTTTGAACCAATTTATTTGATAGTTACGAGACTTGTGGCCTTTATGCCTTTAACATAATCGATTCTCGATTTTGTTTAAAATCAAGTGATGATTCTGAGTTGTTTCAATTAGTATAATATTGGGTCTGGTTAAAGTTTCAACACATAGGAGCTTAAAGGTGATACACATGTTGCTCACAATATGATCAAGTGATTTTTTTTTTCTATAAATAAATTTTTATGATATAAACAATTAAAATTAAAATATATGTCACAAATTTATAAAAATGTGACCTTCAAAATAACTTAATTACATACTAATAAATTTTGAGTAAATTGATGATTTATTTAAATCTACGTATTGATCTTAAAATACTTCAAATTTAAATAATTCGAATTTAAAATAATTTAAACAAAAAATGACACTAATTTATTTTAACCAAAAATAATTTGATCTAAATTTGATTTAACTTGCCTATCTACCATTAGGGTTGTAAATGATACATTAGTATTGGCAAGTTATTCGGGTTCGATTTGAATAAAATTTAAATTCGGTTTGATTATTATCGAGTTGAGCTTGAGCTTGAGCAGTTAGACTCATCGATCGAGCCGAATTCAAGTATTTTTATACCCGACTCGAGTAATTCATGAGCGTAATCGAACTTTTATATTTAAATATATTTTTATTATTTTAATTTATAAAATATCTTGAATTCGAGTTCGAACTTGAGCACAAATAATCGAATTCTTATCGAGTATACGAATCGAGCTTATTTTTATATATTAATCGAACTTAATCGAACGAACTCGAGTAACTCGATTTCGATAACTAATCGAGCTCGAACTAAGAAAATAAAACTCGATCGAATTTGAATTGAATATCAAATCATAAGTTGAGAGTCGAATTCGAACTCAAACTGCTTATTATATCAACTCGATTCAATATGATTACACCTTCTATCTACCACCTTTAAATGCAATCTCTTCAATATCATTAGATAATAAGCCATCACAAAATTTTATTTAAAAAATATATCTATTAAATTTATTTTAAAAATCGTATGGCTTGTTGTAACATAGAATGTAACTTCCATCGTGAGCAGACCTCCATATCTCCACTAGCAAGGTTATAGAAATGCCACATATCTTTATGGAGATGACAAAATAAAACACGAACCAAAATATTTATCTGAATTTGAATTTGACTCTAATTTAATAAAAAATCAAGATCGTAATTTGATAAAATTTAAATTCAAGATGATATGAATTTTAAAAAAAAATTTCTAAATTGAACTCAAAAAATATTTTAAAATAGATACATCTTTCATAAACTGAAAAAATAAATTTGATTAGTTTGAATTTGAATTTAACTTAATTTAAAAATGATTTGAATTTGAATGGATTCAAAATTATATTTCATGAGGGCATATTTAAAAAATAATAATGAAATATGTGACATAATTAAAAAATAATAAAAAAGTCATATATAAATTGTAAAAGGAAGGTAGGAGGATTAAAAAAAAAAAAAAAGACTCGTTGGGAGTGAAAAGGGTGGCATGCATCAGAATAAGGAAACAGTAAACGAGTAGAATGCCGTGAAAGAATTCAATAAAGAGAAATGTGAGAAAGGGAACAAACTTTGCATTCCATCGTCCATTTCCGTTTATATATATAAAGATTCTGTTTTAAGTTGGGCAGTCCAATTCACTTGAGGTGGACACAAATAGCACACCGCTTTGTCACGTAGCTGAGCAATGAATGACACGCATGACAAGACGCGTCAGCTTCTTTCTAGGCATGTGGCTGCTACTTTGGTGCTGGCTCTGTCAGATCCGCAAAAGAGGAACCATCAATGAAGAAGGTACACCATTCATGACCGACCATAATCAGTTCAGTTTGTCTCCAATGATGGAGACGCGTGCTGTCACGCGCTGTTAAGAAACAGTAGGATTGAAGCCAATCAAACCAAAGCAGATCCCCCCACCAAAAAAAAATCTAAAAATCTTACAAATCTGGTTGTCAATTCTCAAATCAAGTTCTCTCTCCTCAACTCTCAAATAGCATTGTAATGAGTATTTTCTATAGGAAAAATATATTATTATTTTTTCCTTTATTTTAATGTTTAAATTTTGAATTTAAAAATTAAATTTTCGAAACTTAAATTTTACGAATTTTATTTTAAAATTTAAAAAAATTAATATAATAAGACAGAAAAAAATAATATATCAAGAAGATTGGGTGAGTTAATGATATCATTAATGGTATCCATACAAGTGATTTTGGGTTACATTCAAAGCTTTTTATTGCGAACCTGTTTTAGTGTCATGCAATAATTCGCTGCGTCTGTGTGTGTTGTAATGATATACTAAGTCATGATTGGAGTAATTTTTTTAGAAAAAAATAAAAATAGAAATAAAAGATAGAATTTAAGGAAAGTATCCCATTAATAAAAGCTGAAAAGAAGAAAACCAGATCCACCTCGAACCTCCCTCCACTCTCTCTCTCTCTCTCTCTCTCTCTCTCTCTGTGTCTGTGATTCTGACCTCGAATCCAAACTCGAGAAGGGACGCGATCTTTTTCCTCTTGGATTTCTTGTGCTTTGTGAGTATTACTTGCTTCTTCTTTAATTTTTAATTACGTTATTGTGTTTTTTGTATAAATAATTAAATTCTGAAATTAGATGATTTTTTTTTTTTTAATGTTCGTTGCAGTTGCGGCAGAGTTAGGAGCTGTTTGTCCAAATTTGGATTTGGATTTGGATTTGTTGCTTTTAAATTATAGTTGTAATAATTATAACTTGTGAATAATAATGAGGGAAGAAGACTCAAATTGGTTCACAAGATGGGAGGAAGAGCTGCCATCCCCGGAGGAGCTGATGCCTCTTTCCCAAACCCTAATTACTCCTGATCTTGCTCTCGCCTTCGACATTCGAAACCCAAGCCACCACCCCCAACAACAACTGCAACCGCCGCCTCACCCTCCTCCTCCACCCTCAGCCCTGCAGCCTCCTTCCCAACCCACCTCGGTCGAATTCGCCGCCGATTCCGGGGACTTGGGGTCCGGGGCTGCCGGAGATGAGCCTGCACGCACTCTCAAGCGGCCTCGCCTTGTCTGGACCCCACAACTCCACAAGAGATTCGTTGATGCTGTGGCTCATTTGGGGATTAAGAACGCTGTCCCGAAGACCATAATGCAGTTGATGAGTGTTGATGGTTTGACCAGAGAAAACGTTGCTAGTCATTTGCAGAAATATCGCCTTTATTTGAAGAGAATGCAAGGTTTATCTGGTGGGGGAGGTAGTGGTGGTGCTGGTGCCAACGGCGGAGCAGGGGCTGCCGGATTGGGGGCCACTGCTGATCCAGCTACTGACCATTTGTTTGCAAGCTCACCGATTCCACCGCACTTTCTTCATCCTGGTAGGGGTAATTCAGAACATTTCTTGCCGTTTGTGCCAATGCCGGCACTGCAGCATCACCAGCAGCAGCAGATAGTGGCAGCAGCAGTAGGACATCCGCATTTGCAGACTCAGTATCATAGGCAAATGGGGCATTTTGGGTCATCACCAAATGGCCAATTCGAGCATCCCTTCTTAGGCAGGCAGACGCAGCAGCCAATGCATAGGATGGGAGGTGCACCCGTGCATAATCAAGTTCCCAATAGTTATGTGGAAGATTTGGAATCTGCCAATGGAAATGGTGGAAGGAAGGTTCTTACTTTATTTCCAACTGGGGATGATTGATTCAAAAGTTGGGTAATTATTGCGACTCCATTTTCGACATTCAACTTTTCTTCTTTATTTTGATTAGTCCTTTTGTTCGAGTTTCATCATATAGAGTCTTGGTGGGTAGTCATTTGTCTTTTTGGCTTCTTTCTTTTAGTCATAATGAGGGTGTGGTGGTAATTGGCAATGGTTTTCAATTTTAATCTGAATTTTCATCTTTAGCTGGTGGGGAGTGTACTTTTAATCTGGTCCTTTTTCTTACTACACTCCGTGAGCCATTAGAGTCGGTTGTAGTGTCAGTTCTTTTATAATTTTCAGTTCCTCAGACTTCTACGCCTGTAGTTAAGTTGTCAGCGGCAGTCTGTGATCTCAGTCAGCTTCCAGTGACGGGTGTTGATAGTGATGTCACTCCAAGCGACAATAAGTTCCTAAGCTTATCAATGCTTACAATTACTTTGGTCTGGTGGTTTTGAGTTAAGGTTGCTTAGAGGTTGTCTTACCCAATGGTTGTCTGGAGAGTCAGCTCAGTTTACTTAAATTTTGAGTCAGCTTGCCAGGGAGGTCTTTAAGGTTTCAGCCATGAAGGTGGTTTTGAGGCAACATTGCTAAATTTTGATATTGCAGGTGGGAAAAAAAACGTAATGCTCACAATCCCTAGTTGGCCTCTCTGTTTGTTACAATCGGCATTGGGGTTCTCGAGTTTCCAAAATTCTCTAAGTTGTAATCTCTAAGTTGTTTAAAATAGTGATCATATCTAAAATTTAACCCTGTAATTGTCATGATTGTCTACTTTAACTTTTGAGTGAGTTGCAGCAGTGATATAATTTGTTGTGTATATTCGAATTGCTGTTTATAGGTAATTAGTATGTGATCTCATCGTCTGAAATGTATGTTTTTCCATTTAATTTTGCCATAGTTGTATGATGTTCCTGTTTCCAACTTTTTCCTTTTTTTTTTTTTTTTTTTTTTGTTAATTCTTCTAATTCTCAAGATGGTCTGAACTTCTTTAATGAGGAGCTAAGAGGTAAGCAAGGCATTTCATGTGTTTAACAGCCGATTAAACTTGAGGGGTTTTGCTCAGGTAAATACGCATGAGATTGGATCTGCGGTTCATATTGTAGCTGTGATGAAAAAATTCCTCTGCTTATGTTCTGAATGGGTGAGAGCAGAAACAATATCTCCTCAAGTAACTCAACAACAATAGCCTTAGCATTTAACAAATTACTGATACTTTTGAACTTTTAACAAGGGAAAAATATACAAATTTCAGAATTTCATTCAAAAGGGATGATATTTCAATTCTATAGACATATGGTGTTTCAAGGTTTTAACGTCTTCTCCAGTTTGATAGTGTCAATGAATTTTGAAAATCGAAATTAGCAATTTCCTTTTGATTTTCTCTGGGATTCTGCAAACACCAACAAGTTGCGTTTCTAATCTAAAGTATATTGTTACTTTGATCAGTATATGTCGCATGGTCAGCGTTTTCATGTAATAAACTAAATTGTCAGCAGGGGATTAAACATTGCAAAAGCTTGGACATGAAACCGGGATTTATTTCAGTTTATTTATGTAATCAATTTTAAAAAGTAATATCTAATTAAGCCAAGTTGTTGGCTATAAAACATTACCATATCTGTATTAAATCAAATGTAAGACAGACAATCCCAGAGAGGCAGAGTTCAATAATTCTGGCAGGTTCGACTTCGGGGGAGTTTTAAGGAAAGAAAGACAGGGTGTCCCTTTGTCCAAAGCATGTGAAAGACACCTTGGAATTGGATCTCACTTTATTATTGGACATTTTTTTTTATATATTCGTGGCGAATTTCAAAGTTTAATTTTGAGATAGTCAAAATAATATTTTATAATAATAATTTTTTAAAAAATAAATCAAATCTGTTAAGAATAAAAAAAACTTTTTAGATGTAACATATAAAAATAAAATTTATAATTATAAGTATATTAATATGCAAATATATGTATATAAAAATAAATATATTGAGCAATTAATTTTATGATTTCTACTTATAAATCATTAGCAATATTCGTTATAAAAATAAAATTATTATATTTTTTTATGTTATTAATATATTATCTTATTATATTTAATACTTTTAGTATTAAAGTAAAAAGTAGTAAGAAATTATAGTTTCTAAATAAAAATAGATTTTAGAAAAATAGAATAAAAACTTTAGTAGGATAAGTTAAAATTTTATAATTTTTTACAAGATATTTTTAAATTAAAAAATAAAGAGATACTTAAGTTAATCATGTTAATTGTTTTTTACGTGTAACAATTTTTAAAGAACCATTTTGATTCCACCAAAACATGGATGTACTATCTACGTTACACAGCCTACATGACATGTTATATAAATATTTCCTTATCATATCATATGGATTTTTTTAATTGTTAATAAAAAAAATAATATAACAGAGCATCAAAATAATTTTAAAAGATTAAACTAATTAGGTTTTAGTTTAATGGCGAGGAGGAAGCTTTAGAATTATGAGATCCTAAATTCAAGTGCTATTTTAGTAAATTTGGTTTAATTTTATGTTAGATTTGATTACTAATTTATTGGTTGCCTTGTTTGTTTGATAACTCAACGATTTTTTATACATGGATAAATATTTGATTACAATTGCTATTTCTTATGTATTTGTAATTTTTAAAAAAATTAGAAAATTATGGATTTAAATGAAATAATTTAAAAATTAAAGTTTAAAGCGAAACCAAAATGAATGTTAGGGATCATAAATAGAATTTACCCAATTTTGTTCCTTTTTAACATTAATTATATAATGTAGGCATTTTTTTTCTTTTTTCTTTTAATTAAGATTAATATTTTCTTTGCTAATTTAATATCAAATGCCATAAAAACATTAGTTAATGTTGTGTGTTAAGTGTTATATTTATTCAATACATTAAAAATCACCAAGCTTTTATTATGGCATTCAATAAAAATCTTTTACTATTATTTAGGTTGATGCAATCTATATTTAGTGTTATGTTTTAAATGCTTAAATTTAATTTTTATAATTTTTTTTATTTTTTCACATTAAAAAATTATGGATGTTCATTTTTAAAAAAAATTAAAACTTTAATATAAAATAAAAAAATAATGAAAGAGTAATGAATATAAAATTCCAAATTTATATCAAAATGACATTTTTATATAAGTAGTAATAATAAAAAAAAAAAGGTGAAAACTCATAGAAAAACAATCTAAACAAAGAATGGAGAAGAAAATAGAAGAATTAAATGGAAGAAAGAAACTAAAAGGATCAAATGATGATATGTAAGTAATTACTAGTAAAAATGTTTTGATAAGGTTTTATAGTTATGATATGATATGATGTAGTTATAAGTAATTACTTGTAAAAACCCTTACAATTAGAATGTCACCAAAATCACAATCTCCTCCTGATTTTGAATTAAAAAATGGAACGAAATCGATGACTGAAATCAAATAGAAACAAGATTAAAGTAATTTCTTTAAATATTTGAATAAAAATGAATAGATTTGTGATTGAAACAGCTGTGTTTGTGACATACGAAACTGTATTTTGTTAGATTTCAAAATCGAACAGATATGCATATTGGTATGTTTTTAAAATATCACAAAACAAACATACATGGATGCCTGTCTGCCAAATAGCCATAACTCAACAAATCTTTCAAAGGTGGTGTGTTTGACAGCACTATTATAACAAACTCAAAGGCCTAGAAATAAAGAGAGGTCAATGATAAGGTCATCGAAACAGGCAATGCTCATTAAGTAAGCTGTCAAAATTACGAGCTTTGTAAATATTTTAATGTAGTGCATACAGCTTCATAGTCCATATATGCCAAGCATTTTATACTATGTTCTTTTCCTCCTATTGTTTGAGAAATCATTTCTATTTTGTCATATGATGAAACTTTGACAGCATTCTCATCTTCAGCTTTCAGTGTGGAAAAGTTGGAATTTAATAATACTTTGTCAGTTGATGAAACTTTGATAATTAGTGTCTAACCATCTAATACTGTTATTTGCGTTGAGTTCTGATGTGAAAATATTTTTTAAATAATAAAAAAGAAAATGGTTTAAGTGTAAAAACAAAAAATATTCTCTATGTTTTATTTTAACGTTAAGTTAGAGATCAAAATAAAAGGTTGAAAGTAAAAATATAATAATAATAAAAAATTAAGAGGGTAGATATAACCTAAGATAATAAAGTTTGATTATTTATATTAATTGATGAGAAACAAAAGATCAATGAAAGACAATAATGATGCGACCGATATGATATTAAATGTTAACTTGACATGTTAGATTAATCTAAATATCTAAAATGCCTATGATTATTTGCTAAGAACCTCTAATGAATAAAAAGGCCATCATGTCCTTGGAATCACTGGATACCCCAAACAGGTTTCCTTGCAGCTGGTGTAGATGATCAGATGAAAACTAGAGAGTTTTGGAGATGCAAAGTTTACAAATTCATAACTAACACTAACAGACAGCATGGTTCTAGCTGCAACTTACAATCACACAAAATTTCAACACAAACAAATTTTTTTTTTTTTTTTTGCCAAAAACACACTAGATATTTAGACAATAAACTTTCGTACATACATTCAAACTACAAGAAAACCTACGATCTTAACTTTGTGAAAACATCATCTGACATTGCCACGAAGAAACTTTTGGCGTAAGAATCTGCAAATTTTTCTGTACATAGTTCTCCTGTCTCATTTTTAATCCTGTCCTGAATATCATCTCTGGGTCCATGACATATATAGATGACCTGGTGAAAGTAGGATCAACATATTCATGTTCCCACATTTGCAGAAGTCGTTAAGGGTATTAAATACCATATAATACAACTGGACTTCCATCAGTCGTTCAATTTTAGTAGCTGAATTATAGTCATCATCTTTGATTGTTGCATCATAGTTGCCAAATGACAGCATGTTTGGGGCAGCTGAAAGTTTCAAGATTTGCATCCTCACGAGTATAGACAGCCAAGACTACGCATAGTTACTCACTTAGATTACCAGGCTAAAACAAGCATCGCAAAAGATGAAATTTGCCCCATTTAAGTCACAATCTCAATCTGCATCACCAAGGCCATCACTCCCATCCCCTTTCTTGGATACAGGTGTCCAGTGTGAGCTCGATTTCTTCGTATGTGAAGCTATTTCGGCATTCTTCCGCAATACAGCTCCTGGTGAAGGATAAGGACGCTGTTGAAACAGAGGACCCTAAAGTTCATAGAAACAATAAACATGTAAAATTATGAGAGCTTTAACAAGATAGATCAGGCAACAAATGTCATATAATTTCTATAGTATAGCAATACATATTCAAAGAAAAATATCGCACCGTGGCAGTGGTATCAGCTGCTCGTGGCTGTACTCCTTTCAGCCCAACAATCCTGCAGAGCCAATGTCAAATGAATCAGTAGACTTAAGGGTGCCTCTTTGGACTTTGCATGCCTAGTATTCAAGATGATGGTATGACAACAGGAAAATTATTAATGGTAACATACCAGCCACCACGGGGAGCATCAGAATAAGAGCTTGGATCCATGGGATCCAGCTCATCATCATCATTGTAGACATGCTTCCTTTTATCTTTTCTGTTTCCTTTTCCCAAAAGAGATTTCCCATTGGATCTGCAAATTTGGGAAAATATCTTAGTGCTGTTAGACCACTGTGTAAATGTGCAGTTTGTGGTTGTGACCAAATACATTTCTGTGGATGTAATTTACAGACATGCAGATTACACAATCTCTGGTAGGTTAAATCTTAGCAAGTTGGGAAGAGAGTTCAAGCGGTCAGCACAAAATAGTTTGTGGAGAAGAAGTGATGATGAACGACCATCACCTAAATTTTAAAGGATCTTATTTTAGACAACCTAGAAAACAGGATTTTTTTACACTGTTATTTTGTTTTAACTTTATTTTATTCATCTGGATATTGTAGTATTTATGTAGGATCAGTTTAATGTTTGTACTCATGAAATGGTTATTTTCAGATTTTTGGGGCAGCTTTTGATGAATGAGATTTTAAGTTTTCAAACTACATTTTTAGACTTGATTTTTGGTGCTTTTGGCAAATAAAAATTTCAAATTCATATTCTTACTTTGAGATTATTGGTGCTACATCAAATTATCAAACCTAGCCAATCAGAAGAACATAGTTGCAATTCATTAGGGGAAAATTTTTGTTTTGAGCTGGCTGCAGCCTCTGAAGATGTTTAAAAGGTGTGTTAGGCGAGCTTATAGAGCCAATGCTCAGAAACTCCATTGAGCATGCTGTCTGATAGGCAATGGTTATCATTGTAAGAACCACGACAATATTAAAATTTTGAGGAGGGTAGGTGAGATTATAGAGCCAATACAAACTTTCATAGAAGTTGAGATTTATCCTGAGCAAGGTAGACATTTATGATGAGGCTGATAGGAATTTTCCTAGGTATCAAGAAGGCTATCCACGGTTTTGTAGGTATATGTAGGGATAATATGCATTTTCCTAGACAATTCAAACCCAAATCAATGGAGGAAGAAACTTAAAATGCTCAATATTTCAAAGTCTCAATATGCTAGTTGATAGATTAAATTATACGATTTTATTTTATATTTTTTGCATGTGATTGTAATTTTTACATATATTCAGGCTATTTTTAGGTTATTTTATTTTATTAATAATTATTTTACTTTATTTCCAACTATTAGTGTTTTAGGGTTATATTAGGTATTTTGCAAGCTTAGGGTTTAGCTCATAAATATCTATGTTACATTAGGTTTTGGATGATCTCCATCACCCAGTTTAAGGCTATTTACCCAGCAATTTTAGAACTAACAACTGCTTGGAGGGCATTATGACTCACAAGTTACTAGTAAACGCAATAATTTTATTAGTCCTTGTACATATGGTGGTTTTAATTAATGCATTTAATGTAATGTTACCATTCACATTGCTTCTCAATGTTAGTGGAGAGCATTAGGTTTGGAGCTAGAGCTTGAGGAACCCCTAGATACGTTCAAATAGGGGAACTCTCGAGTATCCTAAGGAGGCCAACTTAGGTCAAAGTTGCAACCTCACATAAATGTTATGGTGGGGGACAGAGAAACTAGAGATGGCCCAAAACTTGACCATCATCATCCTAATGTTGTGAGGTATATCTATCATGCTAGTGAAAATGATGAATGGAAGAAGGGTGGAATCTCCAATACAAACATCAAGCAAGTGCGATGAATGAGCCTGTATAATGAAGATTGACGGGGTAGTGCTACAAGTGCGGTATCTACAGGATCATTACGTCTATTGAACCTCAAGTTAGAGCCACACCACCACTCCTTTTAGGTTAGCTTGGTTTCACAAATTACTCTACATTTACTTAAAAGAAATTCAGTGCCATTTCATATTAGAGACACAAAGGATGAGAAGCATTTTGATGTACCCATGGGTGTTGGTCACATCTTATTGTCCTTGGTTGCTTAATCTTGATGTTTCTAGTCAGGAACAAGATAACAAATAGTAATTGAGTATGGTGATCACTTGAATTTTCTCAATCTTGACAACCATCATTTAAGGAGTTTCCAAATATCTAATGTTTCATCTCAGAAAAGATTCAATCTTGAGTTGTAGGGATTTTGAAAGTTTTTGGAGTGTAGCTAAAGAGCAACCCCCAATCTAGTGGTTTTCAAAGTGAGCTTGCTTTTGAGATGAGTAAGTTGTTGATTAACATTCATCAATGGCATACCCAATGAGTTTCCTAGTACGTTGCCAATTATTAGAGATAGTTAGCATGCATTCTCATGGTTCTAGGGTTCCAGTTACTCAATCTGCCACATAACAAGTTGAATCCCAAAGAGAGAAGAGTTGAATAGGCAAATAAGATATATTTTAGCTGGACTATGTCCTAGTCCTGCAGCAGTATATGCCCCCTTGAAACCTAAAAATAAAGGATCCAGGAGAATATTGCATGAACAATAACGCTATTAAATTCCCAATCGAAACCTGGTTGGCTCTAGTTACTACACTAAGATTGATTTGTACACTATCATTATGTCCGCATTAGAGTAGGGGATGAGTGAAAGGTTGCATCTAAAACTTTCATGTCCTTTGGTCTTTCTAGAGTTCCTAGCATTTTCAGGGGGGTGATGACACATCTTTTGTAGTCAGTCAAAGGTAAGTTTCTAAAAGTTTAGTTTCAATGGCGTCCCTATAGTAAGTCCAAAGAGGAGCATTTACATTACTTTCAGCTACTTTTCACCACCCTTACAAGGGCTAAATTATATGCAAAAGTTGATGAGCAGAGTTTTCTTCCACTATTGTGCTCTTTTTAGGCATCGTATGTCTGTGTATGCTTAGCAGTTGACCTGATAAGGTTAGAATTATTAAGGAATAGATTGAGCCTAGATCATTTTTTATGCTCCTAGTTTTCATGTTAGTAGTCACATCATAAGGGCTTTAGTAACTACATGACTTTAAGTGAACCCTTTCAATTACCAGTGAGGTTAAAATGTTAAAGAGTTTCATTGTGGCCCTTGTACTATAACATCCACATTTTTCAAAGATATTTGAGGTTGCTTGCGATGCTTCTTGGAGAAGTAAAGGAAGGGCTTTAAGTCAAGATGGACGTCAATTAACAAAGAACCTTATGGTGCACAGTCTCTTCATTATTGGAGGTTTAACTTGTTACCTCCAAATTTGTGCTTTAATTTGTCCACTTAGCATTGAAGCATCTTCACTCTCAAAAGAAACTTAATCCTAAGCATTCTAGGTGGTATAGTGCTTGAATGAGTATTTTTCTTTTGTCCTTTAACATCAATATCTTCTTGAGAATAAAATGTTGGCTGGAGTTCAAATGGTAGTTAAGAGTCCTTCAAGCATTAAGTATTGAAATTGTGGACCTTAATAGGCCTAAGGATGATTATACTGTTTTTCCAGATTTTGTATTGATTTTTGAAGAGGTTAGTAGTGGCAATCATAAGGAGTTGAAGGATTTTGTCATTCGTGACAGTTACCTCCAAACCAATAGGTTGTGCAGTCCACATACTTCACTTGAAAAGTTTTTAGATTAGGAGCTGCATCTAGTGAATTAGCTGGTCATCTAAGTAGAGATAAGACCATTGCTTTAGTGGAATTTATGGGCTTCTTTAAAGAAGGATGTAGATAGGACGGTGTGTGATGTCTAGTTGCCACTTGTCAGCTTGCCACAAATAAAAAAACAGAACACGTCTTTATACCCCTCTTATTTTGCCTCTTGAATCTTGGAAGGATTTAAGCGCAGACTTCCTCCTAGAATTACCTAGAAATGCAAAGAGCCAATTTCATAATTTGTTGTGGCTGATAGATCTTCTAAGATGATACTTTTCCTATGTAGCAGTACTAGTGATGCATCTCATGTAACTAAGTTATTCTTTAGAGAGGTAGTGAAATTGCATGGCTTACCTAATCCTATCATGTTTGAATAGAGATGTCCAGTTAGCTATTTTTAAGGAGTCTCTTAAAATTGAGTGGAAATGATTTGTTGTTTTCATTACCTTTGCATCCAGACTGATAGCCAAACTGAGATGGTTAATCGTTGTTTAGGTGATTTATTGAGGTGTTTTATAAGGGAAGAAAAGCAATTGGCACTCAAACTTGCCAACTGTTGAGATTGAGTATGACAATTCTGTTTATAGGTACATTTGGAAAGAGTTCATTTAAGTATGTCCATGCTATTAAAGCCCATACACCTATTGACCTTGTTCCTTTTCCATGAAAGTTTTGTACCTCTGAACCTACCAAATCTTTTGTCGAATATATTCAGGATTTGCATATTAAAGAACCATGTGATAGTATGTGTTCATCTAATTGTTTTGACTGTCAAGACTTTCGATAAATTACATGCTCATGCCATGGGCCTATATCTTTATTGATAACTTGCGCCTAAAGCACAGTTACTTGATTTACCCAGTCATTTGAGTACTACTCTTATTTGCAACGAGGAAGACTTGTTACCCTGTAAAGGTATTTTCAAGTCTCTTGCCTTCAAGTAATTAGCAAGAACCTCTATTTCACATGTGCTAGGATTTTCACCTCATATGGAGAAGAGTGTCATTTTCTAGATTATGAGCTCATTGTTTGTGCTAATGGGAAATTCCCTTGATATGTTGTTAGTGAGAGGTTGACCAACCATGGAAGCTTCTTAACTTGTGGCTGATGACTTTCAAAGTTCGGACCTTAGGTCTAGTGCTCTTTGAGTGGTAATTGGAATTTAACTCTTCAGAATTGAGCTTTGTTTAAAAGGAAAGAATGATAGAGGGCTATGACCTAAATTTTCGAGAAATACTTATTTTAAATGAAAATTAAAAAAAAAAAAAAACTTTGTTATTTAAGCTTATTTGATTTGAACTTTATTATGTTCACTTTATCTTATGTGAGCTTGATGTAAAGTTTCTGAAACTCGTACAAATATTTTATTTCAAGACTTCTGAGGGAAACTTTGGATGATTCAGATATTCAATTTTGAGTCATCATATATTGAGACCAGAGATTTTTGTGTTTTTGACAATTGAAATTTCCATATTCATGTTAAATTTGATTTTGAAATTATTGGTACTACATCAACAAGTCTTCACAATATGCTAAAACTGCAAGAGAATTAGGAGGAAAATTTATTCTAGAAACATTTATTTTCAAGAACCTGGACTACACATGAATTCTCAAGAGAAATGTATCGCATTGCCAGATGAACTTGAATCATGCATTAGCCTCAGATATAAGCAAATTAAAGTTCAATTAAATAGAAACCCAAAGTTAGAGTGTGTACCGCTGTTTCGGAGCCTTATTCTCATAATTGTCCTTGGTATTAGAAGACTTGCTATTATGCTGCTGGTTATCCATAATAGTTGACAAACACTGGCTCTGTGGCAGATTGAGAACTCTGCATTTCAAAGAAGTTTTCAGTATCATCAGTTTCAACCTGCTTTACCAAACGCAGAAGTATGAAAATACATATACAAATGTATGCTTGTATGTAGATATGTGAATGTGCGTGTTTGTGTGTGTGTCACTCTTTAAGACGAAGTTAAGGGCTCTCCTAGTTACAAATATCCTATGTGAACAAGTTTTGATATCCTATTTTTTGAACAATGGATTATGTTGACATGAAAAATTAGATGTTTTCCATTTCATTTCATTCATTGGCTGATCTAGCATGATCAGGGAATAAAGAAAAGAGTTTCAGAATGGCATCATAAGTGTACCAGTTTCTGATCTTATTTTCCATAATCCATATTATGAAAACAAAACAAAAGAAACCTCAATGAACCAATGGCACCATGGCATGCTACCTACAACATTTCATTTGTATGCCATTTTATGGTCTTAAAGTGTCTGACCTAAACAAAATTTTAATCCCCTACAGATAGCAATGTGTAAATGTATACACAAATGGCAACAGGGCCTATACCATAAATTCTTGGGAAATAAAGTATGTTTTATAACCAAATTTAAGTGTAAAAGGCTTTTAGAGGCCAAAACTGATTATGGATAAGTACAATTTCCTTGATACTGTGGTTACGAGATTACCTCATAAATGCACACTCTCTTTTTCACAGTATTCCTTTTTACTCACAGAAGTATACATTACAAAAATTTTTAGCTGAAAAAACTACAAAGGTGGCTAGCTGCCATAAAAGTCACATGCTACACGTGGAACATCCAATGCCAGTATAATCCAGTGTTGTGTAAATATCTCCTTCCAGTTGTTTACATTAGAAAAGAAAATGGCACATCATTTAATCCAAGTGCAAAATAAAAACAAGAATGCCGGTATGCATATCATAATCCAATGATATTAGGCAAAACACTACAAGCAGCCACTTTTAACTGACCTATACAAAAGCATTCTACTTTTTAAAATCAAATTTTGACTTTAAAACATTAAAAGAACAAATTGAATGCCCAGTAAGACTTCATTGAATATTTCTTCCCACACACACGAGAAGTTCTAAGTGAGCCTATCTGTTGCAAAGGTTTTAACCTCCAATCCAAAACCGAATAGGCTAAGCTCTCTTACTTTTCCCTCAAAACTTCAAGCATACTTTTGAAGCCTTTAGATATGCAGGAACTTAACATGTGCCATAGAAAAGGATGAATCTAAAAAAAACACCTTAATTGTAAAGACACATTTCTCCCTTTCTATTTAAAAATGTACAAATGCTACCCTAACATCCCCTAATTGGAATGCCAGAAAAGGGTAGTTTTATTAAGTAGACCAAAATCCAGACCCAATGGTTGGTTTAAGAAATAATGAAGGGGGTGTGGAATATACTAGGTGAATAGTGTTCGAAATGTAAAATGCATTTTCTACCTTGCCTATGTCACAAATGATACTCCAAAAGGAAATGTCATGAAATGTATACTTCAAATGATTCAAATAGCAAAGTAGGACAAGTACTAGCAAACCATTAAACAACAATCATACTTCCTTTGAGTTATATGAAACCTTGATTTTTTTTTCTTTTTTAATTTCCTATGTCAACAAGAATTAGAAACTATTGACTGACATGCTGTGTTACTGCCTTTAACCATGTTTGCTTTCTTTCTAGAGACTTTCCTCCATTTTTTGCACGAAGAGAAACCCAGGCACAATTCTTGTCCATGACTAATAGTCCCTCAATATCAGCCCACACAATTCATTCTTACCTTTTCACATAGTTTGCTCAAATATAAAACCTAAACTAAAAGCTTTAGCCCCCTATTTTGACAAAAGATGGCTATTCTAATTATAATTTCAAACTACAGACTTCTACAAGGTCTTTAGGAAATAAACTTTCCTTTACAACCCTAGTTCTTGAGGGTGCTGCTCCTTTGTTTCCATTTTATAGGCTCCCTATATTTGCTTTTCTTTTTCATACACAAAGAGTATTAAAGTCTTGTGGACAATGGCAAATAGTACATGCATTTACTACTTCCCAAAATGCTTAGAACCATTTATAAAATCTCATTAGGACAGACTTTCCTCCATCAATTAACAATACTTTAAAAGACTATCTGCAACAAAAAACAGTTGAAAAAAAAGAAATAAAAATTTAAAAAATTAAACTCACTGTGACAATTTATTGGAACCGACTAGCAACCATTGAAACAGTGGAATAAAAAATATTAATAGAACTAAAATAGGACCTCATTCAATTAGAACGGTGAGTCCCTTTCACAGATGCATTGTTAGTTGCTTCTCTTTCTTTATTCTTAAGTGCTTTTGAGAGGCTTTCAGTTTCTTTCCTTTTATTAATCTAAGCTCTGCATCTTTGCCTTAAAGGTCTGATACTCTCCCAGCTTCTCTTCTGTCTTTCACTTCCCATGCACCAATCATTTTATTTTCCATTTCTAGATTCTTCAGATATGATTTAGATGTATATAGTGTGTAGGGTGCACACCTAACCTATTACACCCAAAAAATTTAAGTTGCATAGGTAAGAAGAAAATTAATCTTGGTTAGGTTTCTTTGATTTTTAGTAGAATAACTTATAGTAGTTTTTAATATTTTACATAGACAACAAAAAGGTGTTGTTAAAAGAAAACGAAGAACATATTTTCCAACAAAAACATTTTGTTTGATGGATTTACTTTTTGCTAATTAAAAGACCAATAAAAAATGGTTTCCTTATGTAATTAATCATAATTACTAAATTGTATCATGACATTATTGCCTAAACTAGAAACATAAAATAGTTTTTTTCTGAACTCTAATGTGTATGATTTTTTTCTTTTTTTTTACCAGAACAAACACAATTTACTCATCCGCATTATGTTCTATAATATGATAATAAAATCATTTTATAACACAAAAACAACAGAAACTCAGTCTATCATTATAATGTAATACAATAAAACATCATTTTTATCCTATAAAAGTTTAAAGACAAATTTAGCAAGCGAGTTAACATCAATGTGCTCCTTCGTTTTGCAACCTACTAAAATGTGCAGGTAAAAAGAGCTTGTTCAGCATAAAATTAAAGCAATACAAAAGCTATTTCTGAAGAAATTACATACCGTGTGCAATGATTGCAATAACCCCAAACCTGCACCAGGCCCACTCCCCAACCTCCACAACCAATGCATTTGTCCAGGTCTGGTGACTGAGAAGCCAAATTCTCATTAAAAGTATTTCCAGAAAAACTGTTTCCAGGGCACTCTGATGCAACTGGCTGTGATAAATTAGGGCACTCCCATTGAGATATATTGGTCTTTGTATTGTAATAATATTTGTGCCCTATTATTGCCCAAAAGAAATAAAGAAAAATGAAAAACCCTTAACATTTCTGTACTTAGTCAAAAGGCACAACAAAGCAATGTTATTATCCTATTGCACATTGTAGATTTTATCAAAAGTTAAAACATGTGTACATTAACAACACAAGGCAATGTATGCCGTTAATCTCCAAGCAGTATAATCAACAACCAATATGATAATATAAAAATATTAGCACACATAGAAGCAACACCAAAGCAGGTCTACAATGCGGTTTCAAGTTTTTGTTGCATATATAAGTGTAGAATTCAAGCCTGCATATAATATTATAATATATATTTGTACAAGTCTGCAGTTTTATCACCTTCTAAAATCAATAATACTCCTTGATGCTAAGCCACTAGCCAATTCACCAATTTATCACCTTCTAAAACATACGTATTTGCCAAAGCTACACCTCTCTACAAACCCCCTCCTCCGATTCTTCATTGCACTACCTTAACTTCCCAAACCCTAATCATGGACTACCATCAAGGAACTCCCAACACACTTCATTGGACAAAGATCTCAGAATTAGACACTTTGTTTACAAGTAAGGTTACTTGTTTACTTTCCTTGTAGGAACTATGGTTACATGGACTTATGAATATAAGTAGTATCTGTCACATCTAGAAATTTAGCTTTCAGATTATCAATTTTAAGAATAAATATTCTATAACTCACCTTTTTTCTTCCTCACCTTGCTCTATCATCCCTCTCCCTATACGTTTCCTCCATCACTACTACGAAGCTGCATCACATGGTATCTTGCAAAACAATCTATTTTCTACCAACTCAACCTATATTTCTGACCATTTTCAACCACCTTTTGGAGACTTTTTTCTATCACCACTACCAACAACCAGTAGATCAGCTTAAAACTCCAAAAACCATTGCAACTGCAGCCTATAGGACTCGTATACACACACACATAAAATACACTCTACGTCCAAATCCACAGGTCACATACACCAACTAATAGACACTCACATATATGTTCATGTGCCCTTCCTAAAGCTCATCATGTGCCCTTCTTAAAGCTGATGTCAAAGATAGCATAAATGCTTATCTTACTCTTTATATCATTTATATCATCCAAGTCTTTATATCATCTAAGTGAAGTGAGCCTCCACACCGTACATTCATTTAATAGCCCTATTACAGGCATCATGATCCGACAATGACCAAAACCCCCTATTTTTGACATGATGATTCTATTTCCTAAAATTTCAGCTTGGTTTTCCAAATTAGTGGTCTTTGTGCTTGTGAGGGTTAACATTCATCCATTAGAATTGCCTGTTACTTATTTGGTTAGACAGCCACTTGATTTACTTACTCCTAGTTGAGTTTCATCCTTTTCTTTTCCATTCAGAAATATAAAATTCTTAAAGCCTTTTTCTTTCTTAGACTCCTGATTGCCTATATAAACATCCTTTATTACACCATGACACCAATGGCATTAAATTTATGAGCCATGTGCAAATTCTAGCAGTTTAGAAATTCATATTGTTTATTACTACAATTTAAGTTTACCTCATCGTTTATCTTCAACGTTTTTAGCAAAAGGTATCAACTCTTCACAATCTTGATTCTAAAGTTTCTACTCTGAATTTCTTAAGCACCATCCCTAGCCAAAGTCTGGTAAGTAATTTAACCCCTAAGATGAAATCAGTTAGTGCAAGTTGTGAGGAACGGAGGAAAGGAAAGCTTTCTACATGTGAGATAGGTGAGCTTTTAAGTAAAATGATAATGCACATTTTTCATTTTGGTCTTGTAGTAGTATCCTTCCAACATCTATCAGTCTCATAGAAAACAATTTTGTTCTGAGGCCGCTATTAGAGGCTCATCTTGAAGAAATCCCTAATCTAACTTACTTAGAAGAAAGAAATAATGGCGTTGGTGGATGGTTCATTTAGTCCAGAACACCATCAACCTATGGCATTCCACAAGACAAGTGATACTTAAGGTGAGAACTAATGAGTATGATAGATATGTTGGTAGGTAAACAATTACAACCATAATATTTATCTTCCCACTTCTAAGACTAGCTTTTTGGTTTCTGAATTAAGATTAAACTTTCTACTCATTGTTCTCCTCTTTTCTCCCTCCTTTCGTCCTCTTCTCCTTTGTCTCACCTCTACCTTCCTCCATTTCCTGACCCCTGCTGCATCAGTCCACTTGATTATTGTGAACTCAATTTAATACAGAAGAGAAAAAGTAAGGAAAACCCAAATTTTCTCAAACCCAACGAACTTGTTTTTGCATGCATTTTATTAAACACTTCCAAAAAAGTGCTGCAATTCAGTGTACTTTAGCAACCTTTCCCTTTTAACTGTTAGATGCTTAATAAACTATCAGTCTAATGACAGAGCCTTTACAAGTTTGGTCAGCAAATTTGTTCAGCTCCAATAAAAATGATTATCAAAAGCTATTCCCAAACATAATGTCAGAATCCTTCTTTCTAATCACTGCCGCTGCACTCTAAAAGATTTGATGACATTTGCACACTTAAGAGATATATTCAGGTATTCATGCATTCCTTAAATTTTTATTCTGTATTTTCTTCCAAAAAGAAAATCATATTGTGGAGTTAGAAAATCAATCAGAATGTGGCAATGAGACAAAGATCTTAATGCACAGCAAACCCGTTGTTTCGTCTACTGCTTCCACCCAATCTCCCCCAAGTCGTGTAGCAAACGGAATATGAGCACTCCAAGATGTTTCCACTGGTCTTTCCCACTGACTCTTTCCAATACTTTCATTATAATAATATGAAGCACCAGTTGAAGGATCTTTTGCTTCCACCTACATAGGAACTAAAAGAAGTTAACAGAGACATGAAACAGAATTGAGAAAAGCATTTTCCAGAATATAAAATTGACAACTTCTTAGAGATAAGATTACAGTCATATCCAGCTAAGAATGTTTTTATTTTCCCATCTGTTTTTCCTGCATATAGAAAAGGGTTTACACCTATATGTAACTAAAACCCTAAAAGTAATGGCACCTAGTCACCATTATGTAGAATGCTCACATGAAAATGAATTCTAGCAATGAAGTAGCATCTTTATATGTACCAGAGTGAAATAACATAAATACATGAAGTAATAATTTGAACCTAAAAGAAAATTTTCCGAGTGAAACAGTTTTGAGTTCAGGATAGTCCAATCCCATAACAATTATCATATTAAAAAAACTTAAACATGATAGCACCAATAAAACTGAATGGTAACCCTTTCCTTATTTTCCTTCCATTCTCTATAACCCAGTTCATTGGCCTAAAACTCAAACCTGAAAAATTTGCTAATGCCAGCAAATTTCCAAAACTAATTTCTTTAATTTTTGACAGCTTAACAGATTTTGATATAATTGAATTTACTTTCCCTGTGTCTTCATATTATAGCAACTCTTACATTTCCAATTCTTCTAGCTCAACTAGAACAAGAGTAAAACCTAGTTGATGGGAATAGTGAAAATATGAACTCATTGACATGATCTATTGCATACTGCTATGATCTCCTTATCATGAGAATAGTTTATAAATTTAATATGTTTACAGAAAGAAATTATTAACCCCATATACAAATTTAATATAAAAGCTTACTTATTCACCCATACAAATTACTATACGCTCCTTACTTCAATATTTCCAATTAAGGTTTCAAGTCTCCTAAACTTGACATCATTTAAAGATTTAATAGAACAATCAGATAAAACTGAAGCAAGCACAGAATCGATGCTGAGTCACATGTCAAGGACTTGAACCATGGTCCATCTAAAATTTCAAAACAAAGATTCCAAAGAGCTGTAAAACAAACAGGAACCAAATTAAACCTAAAAGCATAAGGCTAGCCATTGATACACACCCACCCAGGGGGCAACTTTCCAATTTCCATGAGCTGAGGTGAACCAGTCTCCAAGTTCTGAAATCCAAAGGAAAAAGCAAGTTGTTAAATGATTATTGCCTGGTAACTAATTGGCACTCATATGAGGAAGCTCACATAACAAATTTCAGAAAAAATTCAGAAAACACTACTGGCAAACTAGAATAGTTAGATTTCCAGAAAAGATCTAATAATGATGTCCTGAAGCTATGCTTTTCTAGTTCAACAAAACCTATAATGATTAAAACAAGGAGAGAATAAGAGAAGAGGTATATGAGGAAATAGAAAATAAACTCGCATTATCAGTTCTGGAAAGATCATCTTTCCCTGCATCATCTTTTAAAATGCCCCTTGCTCTCAACTTTTGCTTAAGGTACTCAGGTAAGTCCTTAGATGCAGCCGTTGGTTTTGATTCTCCACCAAGCTTAGAATTTTTCTGGCTTATATCATTATTTACGAGTCCCAAATTTCCTGAAACATCAAAAGGTATGAAATTTTAACTTGCTCTTTTTTTTCTGTAAAGAATACTGACTTGGTTTAGTAAATAATCATGAGAACTATTTGTGCATTGATGGTAAATCCAACCTGGTGTAGCTACATTAGGCTTTGCTGTGCCATAGAAATAAGCACCTCCTCCTGGTACACCATACCCGTTTCCAATTTCTATGTTACCTAAAGCTAAGGAAAAGAATTAACCTCAATATGCAATTTTCTTTCCTTCTTTAAAAAAAAACAAAAAGGTAACTGAACAGATAAAACACATGATCCAAAACATAAGTTTTTCTTGTTCTTTCTTTTCCTTCTTCAGAGAGTCAAAAACACTGCTCTTTTAGCTGGTAGGACAGTAGAATGGGATAGAGGATGAAAAGCACAAGGAGATGGAGAAGTAAATTTTACATTCAAGTACACAATCACATCAACTTGATGAAAAGAACAAGGGAAGTTATGAAATATGAACCTGGTTCAGGAAGGGTAGGCTTGCCACGCTTAGAAGCCATTTCCGCACGATGCTCTGAAGCCATTTTCAGTAGATGCTCCTGTATGTACATGCATATTATACAGAAAATGAGAAACTATGCCTGAGGATTAACAGATAACCAAAAGGGAGCAAATATGAAAGCAAATTACTCACTTTCAGGGCATTGGGGTCAGGCCGCTCCCAGAAAAGGTCTGTGCCATCCTTATACGGAGGTTTAGCGACTGCCTCTCTGAAATTAATTATCTAATTAAAAGATTGATTAAACAGAAGAGAACAAGAATGAGAATCCCAAACCAATACCTTTGGCTCTGAGCCTGGATGATTCTTTGGGTAGCGATCTCCTGGCAACACATCATTAGCAAATACTAGACAGATTAGCACAATACTTGAAAAGGGAAATAAAAAGAGAGAGAGAGAGGGAGAAAGGGAGAGAGGTACTTGTTCGTGCAGAAGGACATGCGGTACTGGATTTTCATTCTCCAAATTGTCTTCCATCTTTCGCACAGCAGCTGTTTGCTATTATGTCTGTCAGATTGTTGTTGCAACACTAACTTGTAACTTGCAAAGCATGGAGCTTTCGATGGTGCCGCTGCCGGGATCCCTCTTCCTAGGGACGGTGAAAAGACCCGTTACCACGGTTTTCTTTAACTGGATCTGGTGGGGCGGGTCGGATCTTCTTAGTCTAAATGATTGGGTTGGTGTTACGTTAGAAAAAAATAAATTAAAATATATACTATAACATTTATTTAATACTTTTTTATACATTTATATTATACTAATAATTTATTATTTAATAATATAATATATTTATATGTAATTAAAAACTTTTTTTGAAGTGATTTTTAAATCAATTAACATATTATTGAAATTAATGTTCAAAAATTGTGAATTTCAATTTATAGGTATAATATTTTTCTTTAATTAAATAAGTATTAAAATAGAAAGTTAAGAACTTAAAAAATTATTTTTCTTTCTAATTAATAAAATACATTTGGAATATTTATGGGGCTCATTGTAAATTTTTTTTTATAATTAATTTTAACATATTTAAGGATGATATTAAATTATTATTTTTATTTCTTTCTTTCATTACTTAAATTTATTAAAATTAATAATTAAAAAATATATAAAAACATATAATTTTTTTAACTTAATCCCTCTTTTATATATATATATATATATTATATTTGTATTTGTGTCAAGCTGAATTTAGAAGATGATTCTATGGTATTAGATAGGGTGAGTTCAAGGAGAGATGTTTAGATTGAGTTCAAGGCAATAAAAGAACTTCTCAGTTTACGAAATATATCATCCTTACCATTATTTTTTTTTTCTACTCTATTTATTTATACATTTGTTAACTATATTTATTTTTTAATCTTGAAAGATCCAAAAGAAATTTTTCATTTTTTTAAAATTTTTTAATGGAGCATTTGGTTAAAGGGAATATAACACTACGATTGATTTATAAAAATATTTTTTATTTTTAAAATTTTAAAAAAAATATTTGATACATCAAATAAAAATTTATTCTCAAAAATAAAAATTATAAAAATGTATTTGGTATGTGCCTTTTCAAAATAAAAAATATAAAAATAATAATTAAATAATTAAGTAAATTGCATCTTTTAGAAAAATATAATTAAATAATAAAAGCAAATTACAATTAAAATAAATATATAAAGTCAAATAAAAATATTTATTAATCATTTAATAATCATAAATTTCATAATATAATGATAAAATATAATCTAGCTTTTTTAGCAAACTCAACTTTTATATAAAAGCTAAAAATAGACTCACAAAAAATGCTTTTTTTTTTTATGCTTTCCTGGTGGAAATTTCGAAGTCAGTGTCAATGGTGAATCACTAAGACCTCATGATTCGAAACTAGGGAATTTGGATGCTTTCATGCTACTTTTGCATGCATTATTGGGTTTTACATATGTAGAGATATTATTTTAGTGCTTTAAATTATCAATTTTTTGTTATAAAAAACTCATTTACTACATTATAATAAAAAATAACTTAGTATTTGATTGTATTTTTTTAAAATATCAAATGTTTTGTATAACGCTCTTGATTACTGCATTATAATAAAAATTAATGCAGTATTTTATGAAAATTTATTTTATGAAGAACTCAATTATTGCATTATAATAAAAAAGTAATGTAACATTTGATTATATATATTTTTTTAAATGTCAATTGTTTTGTATAACACTCCTAATTACTGCATTGTAATAAAAAAACTAATGAATATTTGATTAAAATTTATTTTAAAATTTAAATTTTTTGTTATAAATAACTCAATTACTGCATTTTTATTAAAGCAAACACAGTAATTAATAGGTCATATTGAGTTACATTTTTTAAATTTATGTATATGGTTTAGGGTTTCAATTTGGATTTAAATACGATGTGGCACATAGATTAAGTTGTGTAATGACATGGTTGATATATTGGATATGACAATTTTGATATTTATATTTAAAGAATCAAATACTACTTTACTTTTGTGTATAACGCAGCAATTGATACTTGTATTTATTTCAAATAATCAATTACAACGTTGTTATGTTGTATAATGTAGCAATTGATTTTAAAAATTAATTACTAACTTGAATGTTGTCTAACCCAATAAGATACATTGTATCTTAATTCAATTTATGTAATTTTTTTTTTATACATTGTATCTTATTTGATTCAATTATTTTTATGTTGCGTTATATGCCACAATTTGTGATACGTTTTATTTGATTCAGAATTTTATTTAATTTGTGATACATGTATCTCATACAATTTATTTAATTTGTAAAATTTGAATAATCAAATATTTTTTAGTTGAAAAAAAATTATCAATTACTACGCAAATAACCAATTAAATGAAAAAATTGAAATTTTTTTTATTTTTCTAAAGGAGAAATCAAATATTGTGTTCATTTGTTACACAACGTAGTGATTAATACTTGTTACAATTTCAAACAATCAATTACTATGTTGATATGTTGAATAAAGCATTATTTTTGTAATTATAACTATTTTGAATAATTCAATTACTGCATTAAATTGGTTATAAATGCAATAATTGATGTTCATTTTTCAAGCAATTGAATACTCATTTGAAATATTATAATATAGTAATTGATACTTGTATTTACTTTAAGAACTCAAATATTGCGTTACTTTCATTCATAACACAGTAATTTATATTGTCATTATTTTTTAAAAACTCAAATACTATGTTGTGTTGTTGTATAATGCAGTAATTGATAAATGTAATTCTTTGTTTACCATTAATTAATGCATTGCGTTGTTTTATATTGCAATAATTGATCAATATAATTATTTTTTAAAACAAGCTAATTACTGCATTCTTTTGTTTAAAAATACAATAATTGATTATTGACACTGCATTATTTAACAATTATTTCATTGAAAAATAGATGTGTTCATTATGTAGGGAAGGATATTATAATAAAAATACAAGATTAAGTGATCTTACATTCTCTCCAACCAAGTACAAGAATATAAAAACAAGATACCATGAAAAATCACACATTCTTCATATTCACACTTCCCCGAGAATTATATTTTTCCTTGAAATTTAAGATTTTGTGAACCAAATGCTCCGTAATTTTTTTTTAAAAAGTTTTTTATTGTAGCTATTTGGTTTTTTTTTTTTTACTTTATTTGAAATTTTTTATGAAATTATAAGTATAAGTTACAATTATAATTAAGTATTATATCTATATATAAAAAATCAAATATAATTAGACAAATCAAATCTAAAATTGAATCAAACCCATACGATGAGCCTTCAACCAAATAGCTTGAGTTGGTTTTTTTTTTTTTTAATCTATTTAGATTGTTTTTAAGTACTGGACTTTGAGCAAATTTGCTTTAAGAAATTTTATTTACAATTCAAAAATTTACTCTTTATACTCATTTATTAAGTACAATCCAAATTTAAATATTAAACTCAAATATTTACTTTTTAGGAGACGTTTGGTTAGTGAAATCTTAGATTTTAAGAAAGAATGTGATCCTTAAATAAGAGTAGATTCCTAATAATAGGTGATTCATATGTTATGAGAATATTAGATTTCTGTATTTAGTTTAAAAAAAATTAAATTACTTAATAAAGGCTTTTTACTATAATAACTTTCATTACTTATGAATAACACATGACCAATATTTCAACTATCAATTATATTATTGAAATTAAATCTATGGCAACCATTAAATAACAAAAAAAAAAGTTTTCATTTTTATAATATTAAAAATAAAGTGGCATAGTAGGAACAAATATATATATATATATAAATCAAAGACTATATTTAAAAAAAAAAACCATCTTTGACCAAAAAAGTCAAATATAGTTAAAGACAACATTTTTGTTATATAATAACTCAAACACTACATTTTTTGTAAAAAATATATAACCACTATGTTTTCTCCTTTAAAAATGTAGTTTTTGAATTAAAAAAATACAAGTATTACATTTCCTCTTTTAAAAATGTTATCTTTGAATTAAAAAATACAACCATTTATGTTTTCTCTTTTAAAAACGTGGTCTTTGAATAAAAAAAATAACCATTATGTTTTCTTTATTAAAAATGTGATTTTTTTATAAAAACATACTAATTGAAAGTTCCAAGAAAACATAGGGTAAAGCATACATAATCATAAATAGAGTACTAATTCAGAATTTGTAGAGCATTTAACGGTGTAAGATTAATCACAGTGCCTATCTACAGGACTTGTTCACCTTTCTAGCACCATTGTAAGAGGAAAAAAAGGTTGAAAGTTGCATGCTTCCACACCAGTAAAGAAACCGGTGGTGTGGACCCTTTGAACCTCATAGGTACTTCTAAGTTTTGCAAACTTTTTGTGCGTTGTGCTTTGTGACATCAGTTGTCTCATCAAAGGTGACATCATGAAAAAATACAAGGCCGTTATCTTTGAATAATAGGATATTCGTTTCTATGAAGTCTGTCCCCTCTTCAATAATTCTCTGCACAGTATATGTTAAATTAAGGATTTTCTTGGAAACGTAATTTTTTATATTACTTTTCTAACGTAAAAACGTAAAATTTCAGATATGTTATTTTTATTCATTATCAATCACATTAAAATTTTTTTTGATAGATTATCAATTATATTTTAATTAATAAATATGATCTTTGTTAGCAAATAATATATTTTTATGTATCATAAATATTATTTTAATATTATATCCATTACTATATTTTTCACATAAAAAAATGAAAATATTTATTTTATTTTATTATTTTCATTTATCTATTACGTTTTAAATATAAAAAATATAATATTTTTTAAAATAAAAAATTTAAAATATAAAATTACAATTATCTATTATGTTTGTTCTTTTAAAAATATTTTTTTATTATATATTATATATTATATGTCAAATCATGTATTAAATTTTCAATCGTATGATTATAAATATCTATTTTTATATCAAAATAAATCTTTATTTATTTTATAATTATGTTAATTTTCAAAGATACAATAACTCAAAAAATTTATTATTCCAGTTAAATATAAAACAAAATTAACTGTTTTTTTGAAATCTTAAAAAATCATAAAAAAAATAAATTTTTGATTCCAAAAATTTGGATATTATTAGACATCTTAAAATACTCTTAAGATTAAGATATCGTAAATCAAATGTGAGAATTAAATTATAAAAAATAAGATTTCAAAAGATAATTAATTTTCTTTCAAATCAAACGTCCTTTAAAATAAAATAAAAAAAAATCTCATTTTTCTTTAACACCGTTCACCCAATCATTCCTCAGTCCTCATTCATCTCTCTTCTTCTTAAGGATTTCCTTATCTCCGAAACATTATCACCCCAAATATCTCTTCAAACCAAATCCATCTTAAAAAACTTCAATTTAAATCCTAAAATCATAACTTTTTTACTAAATCAAATTACTCAATTCCAATTTAGAGATAAGCTGCATTTGATTTTGTTAAATTTTGATTAAATTGAAATTTTATCTATAAATTTTAAGAGACTTATAAATATATAAATCCATAAACTTTTAAAAATTTATAGATATACATATCAATGAATTTTTAAAACTTATAAATTTACAAATTCCTAAAATAAATTCGCTTACGGGTCTTGACCGTGCTTGATTCATTCTTCCACACTCCTCTACTTACGACTGCTGCCATAATACAGCTCTACAATCGTGAAAGCAACAATTATTGATTAACTCTAGCTATGTAAATTAACTTGCCCATGTTATACACATATCTTACTACTTGCCAAGCCAAGCTACATACATATGCATGACGCATTTGAAAAAGAATAATTCTATATTAACTCGAAAAAAATAATTATTAAAAACTGCGAACTTAAAAATATTTGCAGACTAATCTTCTAGATTTACTATTTCGGGGTATGGGCGAGGATCCTTAAGCTCCTTCACGTCATCGCCACGACTTGCAACAACAGCAAGTTTAAGCGCAGCAATATCATCAGTTGGAGCAGTGGCCTTTGACGCAGCAACAGGAATTTTCTTATGTACACTTTTTTGCCTGCCAAGCTTACTAGAAGGCTCAAGAGTCGTAGGAGGAGAACTCCTCAATTAATCCACATAATTGCTCTGTCAGAAGCCTCAAGGACAAAGTGACCAGTCTCACTGGTGATATCCTCGGTGGCTTTTTGCCTCTCCTACAAGACAGGGCCTTCAGGAAACATCAATGCAAAATCCTTTGGAAGCACCTTCAGTTTTGAAAAGTCAATCTGCCTCGTGTTTAGGGGCAGTCGGTGGAGCTGCACGTGGTTCAAGGCAGAGTCCCTGAATCGATGACCAATGTTCAGAGCATAGGCAAAAAAGAACTCTAGCAACTCGTGTTTCTGCTTGGCCAACCTTTCCTCCGCTAAGGTACGCTCCTTTTGCAGTTGGCGCTCTGGCTCTTGCACTGGCAACCAAGATGAGGTGTTCAGTAGCATCTCTGACCTACGCCTCCTTAGTTTGCACCCTCTCCTTGGAGCTATTCATTTTTCCCTCCAACTCATCGACCTTGCCCCGTAAGCTGCTCACAGTTGCCTTCAACTCTTGCATCTTGGCCTTCAATTATTTGATGAGACCTTACTCTCTCGGCAAGCAATTGGTTTTGCTCCCGCTGATGCTTCTCAGCCAGCGCTTTGCCCAGCTGCTTTGTTTGGCTTAACAAATCACGGACCAACTTGCTCACTGGCTCATGTTGAGCCATTTTATTTGCTAAACCCTGCACACACCAAGTGTTAGTAAAAATCATTTTGCCAAATATTCTAAGGATAAGTATAACGTTACGGAAAATTTAAACTGAAAATTTTTTCCAAGTATCCATTAGCTTCCATAAGTCTCCACAAGCCTCTACAATGCTTGCCATGCCACGTCATAGTGCCAGCTCACTAAAGCGATCACACACCAAGACCAATATGCTACTGATAATCTTTTCATTTATATCTAGATCTGATGGGCATTCACTTTGTAACCTCTCTCAGATTTAAGGATAATTGTTATACCTTGATCAGAGTCCACGCTTTGACCGTCATGTCAACCAAACTTGCTTCCATTGACCTTTAAGACGATGATAAACCCATTACTCCGACCCTAAACCACAACATTAGATAAGTCAACTAATCCCTTCAGTAAGACTAACCACTGGCTGATCACGTTAATACCAATCCACTGTATAAAAGGTAAGGTCGAGAGATAGGTAACTCATTCTAACCCTTTTACTTAATCTCATTCACCTCCACCTACTTCACCTTCTCCTACCTCTTTTTTTTTTTGTTCTTTTTACCTTTTTGTATAAATTATTGATTTGAATGTCGAAATATGCCCCGAAATCTTACTGCCAACGTATCTTTTCTGTCTTCCTTTTGCCTTTCCTTACTTTGCTTTGATTTGAATAATAAAATAATGTCAACAAATGATTAACTCAATTAATTAAAATTTATTTTTTGATAAAAAAATTTTGAATTCAAATTTTATCGATAATTATTTATTAAAATAATTTTAAATATATTATTTATAATAATTTATTTTAAATTATAAAAGATGACATTTTTATTTTGAATTAAAAAATTAAATAACTTATTTATCTTAAAATTTTTTCTACCAAAAAAATATATATATCGAAATGCACCTCAAAATCTTACCTTCGACGCCTCTTAATCATTCCTATTCTCTTACAAATCACCTTAACCTCCTAGTCAGCTTCCCAGCAAGTTTCCAACAAGGCACCCAATCGTCATGCCACAAAAACCTTGAACACTATTTTAGATGAATTTTTTGGATTTGGACTTAAATATTTTAAACATGAAGAAAGTGAGAGTTTAATTAAGCTGAATTTGACAAATACTTCCCAAAAAAATAAATTGAAACCCTTGGTTTGTAGGCAAAATCCAAAATTAATATTATTAGAATCACTTGCAAATTATCAATTGTAATTGGCTGGTGCAACATCCATGAGTTCAATTACTTGAATTGTTGAACATCGCAATTTATTTAACAAGCAGTAGCTAAGATTAAAATATGCTCTGTAAATACTATTAAAAATAAAAAGTGAGCTACAATGCTCACTCACTGTTCACAAGGTTTCCCTCGTTGTTTTAAAACCTGGGATTCCCAAGTAAAGAGCTTTCCACAAGAACAGCCTCTACTGTGAAGGGCCTAGCAGCCCAGGCAGGGTTTAATTCTTTCTGCCAAACTCCATTACGAATCATTCAAGTCTATACTCGTACTATTTATAGGGCTTACATGACACCAACGCTCTCTTTCCGTGAAACTCCATTACGAATCATTTCTGGAGCATCAACATGCTGCTGCTTCTCCAAAGCTATCGCTGCTGTTTCTTGAATCAATTGCTTTTCAGCTTCTCCAGGAGGAGGATACGATCTCCCGCTACTGAATATGAGACCTTTGATGGTTGCTTTAAGCTCTTCATCCTTCATCAAGGACTCCATTGTAACATGTACACCTGAGTTAGAAGCAGGATAAAGTATTTAACTATACCACCTTCAAGTAAAGCACTGTTATTAAAATAAAACAGAGCAATATCGGACCAATTAAGGAGACATCAGGGACAAGAGTTACATACGGTATCTCCAATAGTGCTTTGGATTTGTAGGGTCATTTATTGTCTCCTCTGTTGGAGGGCGAGTCATGTACTCTTCTTTAAGCGCTAACAAATCCTGATCATCAAACCCACAGTTTCAGACACTTCTATAGCAGATATTGTAACGCTTACAAGAAAAATGCCATCAGTAAAATACTTATATTTTATTTTGTTTATAAACTCTCAACCGCAGTTCCAAGAGGACATTACATTGAAGTTGATGCTGCTATCAAGTTCTATCACAAACCTGAAGGGGGAAAATTGCCCACATTGATGGAGATTCAACCTGTTGCCTTATGATGAAATATGCCACGTCTGGAACACATCGACTTGGAGGTAGTGCATCAGACCCCATCACAGATTTGAAAAACCGGTGCCGTCTCTCTTCATCTTCTTCCCACCAGGCACGCAGGGTGGAGCAGTCATGACATGATGGAGCACACACCTGAAACATATAGTGGAAGCCAACTCTTAATTAATTTGTTTCTTTTATAAGCAACTCAATTTAAATACAATGAGTTAAGCAAGGGACTAAAAGAGTTCAGTGAAAGCTATTGATCAGGAAAAAGAAGAAAAGAAAAAACTCCGTACAATGTCTATGATATTGCATGCTTTTTAAGGAAAAACATCACTGTATTACCCATCCTTTCTAATATTAATATTAAAGTAAACTAACAGGCCCATTCCCTACTAACACCCTACACTCCCCCTTTAACCTCCAAAAAGAAAAAAATTCCACAATGTCAGAAGCACACTGTTAAGCCAGTAATAACTAAAAGGACATCTATCTCAGAAACAGAAAAAAAAGGACATGCATACTCTTATTGATAAGTCAGACACTTTCATTGCACAGACGATGTGCCCTTGTCTTCAGTGTTAATATACTTCATCATCTTTTGAGGCATAGGAGCACTGACTTTCTAATCAACGACAGGAAACAACTTTTCTACAGTAAGACAAGAGGTTTTCATTTCCATTGAAGGATATCTCTTAGAAAGTGTTCAGCGAAACTAATTAAAATATGCATTATTTATCAGCATATAGTTGAGACAAGTCAGTCTACTTTTCGCAAAATTTGGTATATATATCTTTCTTTGAACAAATTGGGCCCCTTTCAAAATTATATAAATTCTAGTATCTTTACCTACTACTTGACAGAGAAGCAAAAATGAAGCTGATTGACATATGGCATATGCAAAGGAAATCTATGTGATATTGGCTCTTACTGTCATGTAGCTGTACTGAGAAGGAATACCAAATTCAAGATCTGGTTCACTGGGCATACGTTGAATACGCAAGCCAATAAGGCCCAGTTCTTGCATAACCTGCACTTTCATATGAAAAGCACAATGAAGGAATATATAAATATAAGCAAAAAGTAGGAAGATGAGAGTGAGGGGCCAGTCAGGTTAACAATGGGAAACAGTGAATGAACATACAGGATGAACACATGCGGGAATAAGGCCCAGATCTTCCCCACAAGCTAGCATATCGGATGAATTTAGGAGCACGGGGAGGGTCTTCAAAGCATTTTGCCGCCACAACTTTTCTTGCCGATGGAAATAGTAGTCATAGTACAATCTTTTCAGAACATTTTTGCTATATTATGTGACAAACAGTTAGAGATCCATTGATTTATGTGTTTCAAGATGAAATAAGGCTTTAAATTGAATATCAGGATTTTGATTTGTCCCAAAGAAAAACTAAGTTATTATGGTCAAACTACCTGTGATCATCCAGATCTCTAAAACTTGGAGTATCTTCAAGATTAAAACGGGGATAAAAACTTCTTGCATGGTCTGGATCTCTGATAAGAACAATGCTCTGCATAAAGAATTGAACAGACAATGAAGTCTAAGATTAGTACAAGAAAAATATTGAACATCCACAAAAAAGTAATAAAAAACACCCAAGGTTCCAGCATATGCTTCTTATTTGACAACTACAAGTTTCCTGGAAGAATCTATATCAATGAATCCTTTTGACAAACTAGCTTTTACGTAACATGCAATTTGCACGTAACCATGAAGTGTTATCTTAATTATTAAAAAAAAAAAATAATAAAACTTGAAGTATCTTCAAGATTAAAACAGGGATAGAAATGTCTTGCATGCTCTAGATCTCTCATAAGAACTATTTCTGCATAAAGAATTTGTGCAGAAAAATGAATAATAGGATTAGGAGTAGAAAATATTGAACATCCGGAAAAAGAAAAAACACCCAGGGTTCCAACACATGCTTCTTATTTGACAACAACTAGTCTCCAGGAAGACTCTATATCAGTGAATCCTTAAGACATACGAGCTTTTACTTGACATGCAATTTGCACATGAACCATGATATGTTATCTTAATTGTTTAAATAAATAATATAATATACAAGTTATTCTACTAAAATAAGCATTCTGTCAATTTTGAACTCTAATAATTTTTTTCAAATAAAATTTTGTAACTAATTATTTTAATCTTATATATTACTTTGTTAAATTAATTTTCTTTAACCAGGTTTTTTACTAAGTTTTAAGATTTATCATTTCATTCAAGGTTGTTTTATTCTAATAGGATAACCACTCAATTAATTAATAGGTATTATAGAGATTACTTTTATTAATAACAAAATGACAAATTGGAATTTGATTAAAAGCAAAAGGAAATAGTTTTCAAAAAAGTTTCATACCCCTTAATCCACATTTATATATAGTATAGATTAGATTATGCTACCTTTAGAAGATCAAATAGATCACTACGTATCTTGTCTTCACTCTCTGGCAACAAGGACCTTTCTGCACATGACTTCAGCTTGGCAGCAATCTTTTTCTCTGTGTTGCAGTCCTCCTTGAACTAGAATTTCATGGAATAAACAATGCAAATGGTTCAGTCATTCAAGAGGACCTGATCTTTGCCGAAACAACACTAAAACTAACAACTCATTACAATCAAATGGTGAAAAACCAATTTATTGCCTAGTCATGATTCCTTCTAGCGATAGAAATAGATGTTTCACAATCACAAACAACCAAAAGAATTTTTTAATAACAAGAAAAAAAAAAGAAGAAAAAGAGGATAAACTTTTCAGAATAAACTTTTTTACATTAAAATCCACCAATCTCATATTGTATTTGTCTTTATACATATTCAAAAAGTTTTTTACAAGATATACACCATAGATTATAGTATTGAAGATATTGAGTTATCTTAGATTGATTTTAAAGAATGTAAAGTTCAAACAATGAAACCAAGAGACATCAAAGGACCAACAAGCAATTTATGACCAGGAATAACTCAAGAAAAAGGGGAAATAAAATCATCTAATAGTTACGGAAGGTGATACCAGCCAGTGGAGTAATTAAATCTCACGACGACAAACTCAAGTAATTGCATCCATTAAATACTTAGGATTTTGGAATACACCAAAGAAAATGCAATTTTTAACTTCATTTGATATGCATCATTAAAGAAAAGTAATTCATGATATGATTTCCAGAGACATGTTAATCGAATAATTTACTCACATTAATGATCCCATTTTCTCAGATCCCAATGACTTCGAAATATGCAGTTACTAGTCAGTTAAATTAGCATTTACTTCTGTCAATTAGATGAATCAACATGGTCATTCAAGGTTCAAAGTTAGCATGAAATCAGTTAACAGGTAACTTCAAGAGTCAAATGGAAGAATGAAATGAACAACAAACTATAGCAAGTAGAGTATGATCATCACCTCATAACGGTCCAGATACTCGTTCAAAAAAGTTGTAGCAATCAAAGTCCAAGAATCTCCAAATTTTTCCTGAAATGAGGAGAAAACAAACAAAGAGGTAAATATGCATAGAACGTAACAGCCAACACTGTCTGGAAGGAAACTTAAGTCTTAAGGCAAATTACAAAGGTTAAATATTCATTTTGGAATCTAATGCTTACCATATTCTTCATTTCAGGATTCACCCTATTATTTCTTTGAAATTAGGATGCAACCTTCTCAATTCTATCCATTAAGGAAAATTGATGAAAAAAATTAGTTATTACCAATAATGAACCAACTGATGCAAATCCATATTTGTTAAGGTTACCCTCACATGTTAACTATTGGTTCCAGTTACAATGATCACCAACTTTTTTTCATCAATTTTTCTTAATGGATAGAATTGAAGAGTTAGCATCCTAATTTGACCCAAAAAAAAAAGTTGTCTTCTGAAATGAAAATTTTGGTAAAAGTTAAATCTTAAAATGAGTATTTAGCCAATTACAAACAAGGCAATACTCTTCATAATAAACCAATTGGAACCACCAAGATACTCTTTCCCCACCTGTAAAAATTCTTTTCGAACATATGGACGAGTCAAGCGGTCAAAGTCCCAAATACCCTCTCTTTCAAGTTCTTCCTGAAATCAAAGCATTATTCACATTTACATCAAGAGCAAAGTTGCTTCCCATGATGTTTTATACCAGCATACTGCTTGCATATTTCAAGGAATTGTAATTTCTAATACCTGGCTCAGGGGGATAGATGGTCGGAATTTTCCAATTAGACCAGTCATAGCATGGTCCGGGAGTTCCCAAATTCTAAAGAAGCCTAATATATGATCTATTCTATAAGCCGTAAAGTACTTTCCCATCTGTGATGAAAGTAAAGAAAATTATCAAAATTTCAGCATAAAAGAAAGAGAAAAGACCATACCTTTTCCTTAAAACTGCATGACAAAGCCAAACAGCTTATGAATTTGGAATAGGGGTTTAAAAGAAAACAGTAAAAGAAAGAATGAATTAGCAAAACCTGTGTTAGGCGAGCACGCCACCAACCATAGTTGTCTTTTGACATTCCCTCCCAGTTATAAGTGGGAAAGCCCCAATTCTGGCCATTTTGGTCAAAGCAATCTGGAGGTGCCCCGGTAGAGGTGTTCATGCGGAACAAATTTGGATAGACCCAGGTATCAACACTGTTCCTGTCAACACCAATTGGTAGGTCTCCTTTCAAAACTACCCCTTTAGTTCTTGCATATTCTGCAGCTTCTGACAGCTGTCCATTAAATTACCCAGTAATAAAAACCATGAGACCAATTTGTTTAACAGCAAGAAAATTTTAAACAACAAGAAGCAGAGAGAGAAAGATGCATAAGTATCGAGATTGACTAATTTCATTTACCTGCAAATGTAAGTGGAACTGGATGTAATAATGAAAGCAAATTGTATCATAGTGCAAAGTATCTTTCGAGACAAGTTTCTCAAGCTGTAAGAAAAGGAGAGTGAACATTTTTGTGATAAAAGTTAAGATAAAGAAGCCTTCTATGCAATAAAACCTAAGGTAAAACAGATGAACAGTTACAATTTTGCAAGGACAGGACTATTTTAACTATATTCAACTTCCTGACTCAATTTAGAAGTTCAAGTTAAAGTTGTAACTTGGAACGATCATTACCTTGCCCTTAGAATAAGTAGAAAAACGACCCCACTGACTGTGATCTGATGTTTCAAAAAAGTCCCGCAAAAAACAGAAAGCCGCATATGGTTCTAACCAATCCTTTTACCAATTAAAAGTACGGTCAGAATAGTAATCATATATCAGAAATTAACAAACTTGATAGATAGCAGAATATTGGAAAGGGACAGAGATATTTGACCATTATATAAGGTTGATAGATGGAGGGAATTAAAAGTATAAAAGACCTTATTCTCAGAAAAAAATTTATGAAAGGAACTGGAGTTGAGTATAAAATCCTTTTCTTGGATGAAGACTTTCTTGGCAATTGAAAGTTTTGTAGCCATTGTAGCCTCATAATCAACATCCTGCATATACCAAAAATATGTCATTACAATCTTTATAATCATAAATACTAAGACAAGATGAAAGGGATGCATATGCCAAAATTTACTTCATCACTGCTGATTAATTTTCAACTCTTTTTCCTTTTCTTCCTTAAACCTTTTGTCAATTTTTAGAATTCTACAAATATAATTTCATATCTGGATTTGGATAAACCTTATCCAGTTAAACTAAGAAAAACTTAGGTAAAATATTATGGTCATGAAAATATAAACATAACATAACCATGGTACTACGAACTACAGCTACCTTGACAAAAGTAATCAGAATATTTTTAGCTTTTAAGGCACTATCCATTACACTTTGCATTGTAATCTTATTAGAATGTTATAAAAAAATGACAAGAACTAATTGTAGTCCAACAGATATCCGCTTAACTAACAAATCCTGAAACCAAGTGGTATTCAGCATATGCATACAGTGATGAAATGTATGTATGCATATCCTAGCTGCAACACCAAAGATTACAAGCTCCTAACACTATGCACATCCAATTTTGAAGTTATTGCCCAACAATACACAGGTATTTCAACTAAGCATTGTTAAACAAAGACAATAAGATGAATGCTGACAACAAGGTTTGTGGCAACATGGAGAAAATAAGTGAAAAACATAGGTTTATTAGGTTTATAAGCTCCCATTCCGTTGTGTGATGTCTTGACTTTACTTGCAAGAGTAGAAATTGGTCTGAAATAAACAAACCTATGGCATTCAATATTGAAGCATGATTTTTCCCCAACCTAGATATTCTCGAGTAAATAAGCATGTCTCCATAAGTGGTTACATGCAAAACAACAAATACAACTTTGGCTCCAAAACTGTCCCTTACAAATGGGAAAGTCAAAAGCCCAAAGCTCTTAAGGCATATTTGGTTGGAATTTCAAATTCAACAGTCAGAAAACCTATTTCTCAATGCTTTCAGCACAAGAGAGAACTCATTCACAGAAACTCTAGTTCAGGAAATAGAATATGCTCTAGCTCTTGAAACAAGCTACTAAATTTCAATACTCAAGGGACTGAGAAGATGGAGGGCGGAAGAAAGACGAGGAGTAAACTAGCAAAACTAGGTGCAACTCTTCCACCTCCTTACATTTATCTTGAAAGAAATTTCATTGTGAAGGTTGAAAGAAACAAGCTACTCATCATGAGCTCAGTGCAGACTTCAAAATAGACCTGACAATTTGGACATGGCATGAACGCAACATGGAGTTAAGCAGGTTTTGGTTTAGGGTAATCGTGTTTTGTGTCTTAAATGTGTCAAAAAATTTATGAAACGTCAATTAAACAGGTTAAAAACACTTAACACGAATACGAATATGCTCATTAATTGAAGCTCTAGTTCAGCAAATAGAGTATCTGTAGCTTTGAAACAAGCTGCTAAATCACTTAAGGGATTGAGAGAATTGAAGGGGGGTTGGGGGAGAAGAAAGACAAGAGGAGTACACTAGTAAAATTAGGTGCGAGTCTTCTACCACCTAACATCTATCTTGAATGAAGTTTCTTTGTGGAGGTTAAAAGAGGATCATCCAGCTCACATATGATAAGTCGCTTCTTTTGCATAAAGCATGAGTATAGGGTTTTTTTTTAGGGGGGTGGGAGGCGAGGGGGGAAGAGTGATACTATAGTAACCTTTAAATTCTCATTCACAACTTTCAACTAAATTTTTAGGATAAGTTGTCCAGAAGTGCCAATGAGAGAAATTATGTAGAAATCTAATTCTCCTACATTAGTGCAGCTTGAGTTCCGAATTTATTTTGGGAATATTTCTCATTTATTCTTCTGATTTAGTCAACTATTCTAATTGTCAAGTTTTTAGGGATTTGTTTCTATTTTAAAATAGAATAATTCTTATTCATTTTGTTATTTTTTGTTTTCTGTTTCATGTAAGTTTTTTCCTAATAAGGAACTTCACTGTTCCTATTTATTTAGATATACTCCTTCATTCTAAATAGAATAAGAAGAAATAAGGACAATTGTTCTTTAAGTTTTCTACATGGTATTAGAGCAACCCTGAACCATTAGACTATAGCCACACGAGTTTCCATTATGGCTAGCAAGAGTGAAAACTCTTCTTCTACAGAGGTATGGCATGAGGAAAGTCACAAAAAGGTGAATATCCAACAAACCCTTCAAAACAAGTTTGCAACCTTTGGAACTTGTTTACTAGCACAAAAAGGTAATTTCCTAAATGCATTAAGTGCTCCATGGGGAAATACACAATCTTGGATTGTTGATTTAGGAGCATCAAATCACATGACTGGAGATGCATCCTTATTCAACACGTATAAACCTTGCTATGATAGCTATACTGTAAAAATTGCTGATGGCTATCTCTCAAAGGTGGCAGGAACAGGTCCTATTATAGTTTCAAAAGACGTAACACTTGACTCTGTTCTCCATGTCCCTAATTTAAGCTATAACCTACTTTCCATCAGTATGCTTACGAATGATAGATGTTGTGTCACTAAATTTTTTCTTAACTTGTGCAAATTTTAGGGATTGGGCTCAAGGAGGATTATTGGCAGTACTAGGATGTGTATCGGGCTCTACCTTCTTCAAGATGATGCACTTGAGAGATCATAAAACTCTTGTACAACCTTAGCCTCTAGTACCAATAAAGATGATCTTATCATGTTATGGCATTATAGATTAGGAAATCCAAATATTTCATACCAAAAAAGGCTATTTCCCTCAATATTCAACAACATCTCTAAAGATTTTCAGTGTGAAATTTGTCAACTTTCCAAGCATACTTGAAATACCTATCATAGCCTTTCCTATAAATCATCTCAACCTTTCTCAATGATTCACAGTGACATTTGAGGATCGTCAATGGTTAACAATATCACAGGTTCTAGGTAATTTGTTACATTCATCGATGATCATAATCGACTCATTTGGGTATTCTTTATGAAAGAAAAATCTGAGGTTAGCCAAATCTTTCAAAACCTCAATAGCATGGTACAAACCCAATTCCAAGTCCTAAAAACTGACAATGGAAGGGAATACTTCAACCCTATTCTTCGCCCTTCCCTCACAAATCATGGTATTATCCATCAAAGCTCTTGCGTTGACACTCCACAGCAAAATGGGATGAACGAATGCAAAAATAGACATTTGATAAAAGTGACTAGATCACTGCAACTTATTTGGTTAATTGAATACCTTCTCGAGTTATTGGCTTTAAAACACCTTGTCAAACCCTCTTTGCTTCCTACCCATAAACTCGGTTGATCTCTTCCATTCCCATCAAACTCTTTGGTTGCATTGCCTTTATTCATATTAGCCAACAAAACCACAACAAGCTTGATCCCAAAGCCTTAAAATGCATCTTCCTAGGTTATTCCCCAAACCAAAAGGGCTATAGGTGTTACCCAACACAAAAAGATTCTATAGCTCTATGGATGTCACCTTCTTTAAGAATCTTCCATACCACAACAAGAATGATATCTAGGGGAAGAATACTACTTAGGAATATCAATTCTTAGCTGTTGAGTTGCCAATTTCCCAACTAGCCCCTTCAAAGCCAGATTCTCAACTACCCAACCTATCAGCCATGTAGATTCCAAAACCCAACCTATTCCAAAACACAAGAAGAAGTGGACAATTGTACACAGCCCATCACTAAAAATCAACCTGATTTGAGTCTCCAAGAACCTGAAACTAACATAGGTAATGTCTCTATTGAATCTGAAACTGAAACTTGTGCGCCAGCTGGTGACCTTGACATTCCTATTGCATTAAGAAAAGGTGTGAGATCATGCACTCGGTACCTTATCTGCAAGTACATCTCATATGATAGGTTAAATCCAAACTTTTGAGCTTTTACTACTAACCTTTACAATGTGCAAATTCCAAAAAATATTTAGGAAGCCCTTAATGAACTAGATTGGAAGGCAATAGCTCTTGAATAAATCAAGGCACTAGAGAAGAATGGGACATGGGAAATTTCAGATTTGCCCAAAGGGAAAAACCCGGTTGAATGTAAGTGGATCTTCACAATAAAGCATAATATAGATGGAAGTATAACCAGGTTCAAAGCTAGACTTGTTGCAAAGGGGTTCAGTCAATCCTATGGGATAGACTATGAGGAGACATTGCTCCGGTAGCCAAACTCAACTCAATCAGAATTCTATTGTCACTAGCAACCAACTTGGATTGGCCTCTCCACCAACTTGACATCAAGAATGCATTCTTAAATGGTGACTTGGAGGAGGATGTCTACATAGAAATTCCTCCTGGTTTCGAAAGGCAAGACAACATGAACAAAGTGTGCAAACTTCGAAAATCTTTGCATGGATTTAAACAGTCTCCTCGGGCTTGGTTTGAATGGTTGACCAAGGCAATGAAGAGGTATGGATTCCTTCAATGTCAATCTGACCATACTATGTTTGTTAAGTTCACTAATGTAGGAAAAAAAGTTATTCTTATTGTTTATGTGGATGATATCATACTCACCGGAGACCACAAGGAAGGAATAGATGATTTGAAAAAACTCCTTAAAAAGGAGTTTGAAATAAAGGACTTGGGGTTCCTTAAAATATTTCATTGGGATGGAAATGGCTCGGTCTAAGAATGGAATATCAGTGTCTTAGTGTAAGTATGTACTTGATTTAATTAAAGAAACCGGCATAATTGGATGCAAACCTGCCAATACACCCATGGCCTCAACTAATAAAATTGGAAGTGAAATGAAAGCTCTTTCACGGATAAAGGGCGATACCAAAACCTAGTTGGGAAGCTTATTTACCTCTCCCACATAGGACCTAATATCGGGTTTGCCGTAGGGATGGTGAGTAGATACATGAATAATCCAACCAAGGAGCATCTCAAGGGTGTTCATCGCATCCTACAATACTTAAAGAAGAGTCTTGGTGAAGGTCTATATTTTAAGATGTCGGGTATACATAGAAGTTGACTGGGCTGGATTACTAACAGATAAAAGGTCCACTACTAGATATTGCACTTATGTTTGGGGCAATTTGGTCACTTGGAGATGTAAAAAGCAAGCTGTTGTAGCTAGGAGCAGTGCTGAGGTTGAGTTTAGAGTAATGTCTCATGGTATTTGTGAAGGAATTTGGCCGATGAGGTTACTTGGAGTATTAAAAGTTTAGACTGACATCTATGACACTTTTTTGTGACAATAAGGCTACTATAAGTATTGCCAAAAATCCTATTTATCATGATAGGACCAAGCACATAGAGCAAGATTGACATTTCATAAAGGAAAAGATAGAAAACAGGTCGGTCAAATTGGCCTATATCCCTACAAGTTCACAAATTGTAGATATTCTTACTAAAGCTCTTCCAAGAAGCATTTTTGACGGATTGAAATCCAAGCTGAGTATGATTAACATTCATAACCCAGCTTGAGGGAGAATGTAGAAATCTGATTCTCCTACATTAGTGCAGATCTGATTCTCCCATATTAGTGCAGTTTGATTTCCTAATTTATTTTGGGAATATTTCTCATTTATTCTTCTGATTTGGTTAACTATTCAAATTGTCAAGTTTTTAGGGATTTGTTTCTATTTTAGAATAGAATAATTCTCCTTCTTTTATCATTTTTTCTTTTTTGTTTCATGTAAGTTTTTTTCCTAATAATGAACTTCACTGTTCCTATTTATTTAGATGTACTTCTTCATTCTAGATAGAACAAGAAGAAATAAGGATAATTGTTCTTTAAGTTCTTAGTGATGTGAGATTCTTTACTCACATGAGAAACCTTATCCTAACAATTTTCCCTGTTCACTTATGAGTTTTGATCAAGTCCCACCTTGGCTCCCATGTGCAAGTAAGTCCTATCAACACCTCTTTTTGGGCCAGGCAACCTTATGTCTTGGGTAGTCTCAGTGCCCTTTAGGCCCAGCATTCAACCTTGCCTCTTTATGGGTCTAGGTTGTCTTAATGTCTCTCAAGCTTAGACTCAATCATAGCACACAACCTTAGTGCCTAGGTTGTCTCATTGCCTCTCAAGCTTGGACTCTATCATAGCACACAACCTTGCCGCCTAGGTTGTTTCGGTGCCTCTCAAGCTTGGACTCAATCACGGCCTTAGCCTTGCACTCCCTCACAGATTGACTCAGTACATCACCTTTTTAGGTATTTCGATTCCACACACTCGCTACGTCCAAATCGAACCTTCGACTCTGATACTAGTTGTTGGGGAGATAAGTCACACTTGGATAGGCCTATAGGAGCACACCAAAGAGCCCATACATACATGTTGGACACCACTTGAGCCCAAAAGCTTAAGCTATTGGGTTCTTGGGTCCTTCATGTATATATAGGACATCTCATTCAGATTTCTTAGCGATGTGGGATTCTTTAGTCATATGTGAACCTTATCCCAACAAATTAGATGTTTACTTCCCTCAAAAGAAGTTTCTTATCGTTCATTAGAAGCTATTCATCATGAGATCAATGCACATTTCAGAATAAAACTGGCAATACAAACACAACTCTTTAACATGACATGAACACTACATGGAGTTAAGTGGGTTTGCATTTAGGATAATCATGTTTTGTGTCTTAAATGTGTCGACATGTTTATGAAACGTCAAATAAACACATTAAAAATGCTTAACACGAATATGAAACATCTAACCCATTTGATAAATTGTCTATCATACCAACCCGTTTAACCCGCTGTGACACCCATTTAACACACATATGTAAAGACCATTTTAACCCTTTGATGATGATTTTGAACAATTAGGTGTAAAGTTATTTACTAAACATATAAGGGCAATATGGTAATAAGCAACCAAACACCAAGGTTCTAAACTAATTTTCACAACTTTTTCTTCTTCTAGCTGCAGTCAGCCTCCCTAGTTGGTTGATATTGATCATTCTCATAATACTAATTTTTTGTTATGGTTGATGATGATTATTATTTGGATTTGTTATTGTTGATTTATGATTATTAGTTTTAAAATTGAGCAACGGAGTTATGATTTTATTTTTATGTATGTTAAAATCAAATTATTAAAGAAACTAAATCTTTGTTTAAACATGTTATTCTTTCTTTAGCAAATATATATATATATATATATTCTTTCAAAAAAAATTCAAACAGGTTAATCGAGGTATAAAATTTATTTTGACCTGTTCAATAAACATATTAGTTTGTTAGTCATGTAGTGTGGTGTAACACATTTAATAAAAATATCTAAGTGCACGTTTAAGATCTTGACCCATTTAATTAATCGGGTCACATTCATGTTTACCCATATAACCATTAACAATATGCCAAAACATGATACAATTAAGACATGTTATCATGAATTGCCAAGTCTACTTTAGAAGGCAAAGTAGTTAGAAAACACCTGTTTGTCCATAAAACTATTTCTACTCTAAGACTGCTATGCTACCCCCTTAACTGAGCAGTACGGTAAAGGAATGACTGACAGATCTACATTTAACTTAATAGATGAAGCTACTAAACAAGATCAGAATGACTGATCTGAAGGAAGCACAGAGAAGGAAGGTGAGTTCAGCTAAATGGCAAGCCAAGCCCCTACCAAGTCAATAACAGCCAAGGATGGAAAGGAACTGGATACCTTAACTGACAGTATGCATCAGAGAAAAGTTCATTTTTTTTCTTTTTGGATGTTTCATAAACAAAAGTATAGTCTTTCAATAAATCAAGAACAGTGGCCAGTTAACAACTGAATGTGGAAAGGCCACATGATCAATGCTGTAAGAACTACCTCAGTAATTGGAAAAAAATCTTTTTGAGTTTGACACTGATTGGCGCTATCAAGGATTCAATTAAGATAAATAAAAATAGGGAAATTTAAGTAGACCAGTTGTTGATATATTAAGCAAAAGTTAAAAAAGAAAAAAGTCTGATATATGGAATTGTTTAAACTGAAGAAAAGGAAAGAGAGATTGGATTCTATGGCCGGGTACTTACGTACAAATTTAAAATTTCAAGAAACTAGGAAATGCAAAAAGGACCTAGGTGTACTCATCAGCCAATTCCCATAGAGATGGCTAATGACCTCTAACATCCATCATCCTATTTCCAGAAATGTTTTTCTAGCAATCCCACTGTATAATTAATACGTGCCATATATCAACTAAAATATCTTTCTTGTGATAAAACATTAGAAAGTAGTAGAAGTATTTACCTTTCCATCTAGGTGTTCTTTGGCATTTCTAATCTCGTTCTGAAAGGAAAAGAATTAACATGGTGGTTTTAGGAAAAGATCAAAAAGACCTATCAGTAAAATGATATTGAAAAACAACTTGTGTTAAAATTAAGGTTGAACAGGCTGTCAACTCACCTTGATATCCTCTGGCATATTTTCTGAGAGGGCTTGTACTCTCAGGTATAATGGATGCAATGCAAATACGGACAATGAGCTGACAAAGAAATAAGAGAATACTATTGAAATTTTAGCTTTGGTACTTTAAATTTATGGATGTTATATTAAATAATCAATAATAAGCACTCTTACAAAGGAACCAATGAATTCCATGGTGTCAAACAAGATATTAGCCTACTTCCTGCTATTAGGTAATAAACAGGAGAAACTAAAATCAGAAAGAAACATCAACTTGAAAATACATGTGTTGCAACCAACAGAGTTATTGAACAGAAAGAATGCAGCAGTCCACAAGTTCAAATTGAACATCAGCTCCTGCCTTCCAGATTGTAAAGGGAAACAGGTGGGGAGAACTTTAAACAATGAAATAATTTGAGCCATATTATCTACTATCATACTTGTAGAGTTACCTGTATGGATATGAATCCCACCACATCCCGTGTACGGATGTATCATTAATTGGTAGAAGCTGAACTAAATGGAATCCAGACTCCACTGCCCAGTCAACAAGTAACTTCAAGTCAAGGAATTCTCCAACACCAAGATCAACTTCTGACCGGACAGAGAACATGGGAATAGCAACACCAGCACCTCGCCAGGGCATTTCCTACAAAACCATTTTTTACACTAATACCATCATCACTACTGCAAAAGCTCATTATAGCATTCACTTAACTATTAGGATATCCTCAATATTGTACCCTCAACATGCCGTCTGAAAGGAAAATATATTGCGATTGACTTTTAAAGGAATCGAAAGAGAGCTCCCTTGTTGAACCAATTTCCAAAGAAAATAATCCGTTCTTGCCATATTTACAGTACTTATATGTGAAGCACTTGTTAAGGAAGAGGAAAGAGATAGATAGCAACGCAATAAACAAATTCTAGACCAAAATATATAGAATATTTTCAAATCAGAGAAAAATATCTAAAAAAGGATATTTTATTGGAAAATCACCCCTGGGAATTGCACAGTATGCTTCCCAGATATATTCGCCAGTATAGTGCAACTTAAGTCCATCCTGAACCTTCCAATGCCCCAACTTTGTAGCGCTACCAATCACATACACCTGCATTATTCAAGCATCATAAATACATGCAACTAAAAGGAAGATGGAATATCAAGAAAGCTTTTAAAATAGCAGCTAAAAAGAAGATGGAATATCAAGCAAACTTTTTAAGTAGCAATTAATGCACCCTAGAACTCCTTGGAAATAAGAAAACATACCGATGAGCCTTCTTCTACATTTGGACAGCAGATTTTGAAACGTACAAGGACTGACTCTGTACCGCATCCAAATTTCATGAACAATAATGAACTAGATAAATTCAAATTTCCCAAAAGAAAAGGGACAGAAATGGTGCAATTACCTTCTTGAACCAGTTTGTCCTGAATGATTGCTTCTGGCCTATCAATATTCAAGGTAGAATTTTTGCAAAATATGACATCTTTAAAGGCGCTACAGAAAGGAAGGGCATCACCACCAGTCTGGATTAGTTAACACAAAATTTTAGCTTCAGTTTCAAATGTCAATGTCAAGAAACCAGCATGTTTTACGGTGACCAAAATTCACTCAACCACCAATCCACCATTGATCACAAAGCTAAGGAAGCATCCTTTCAAGAAGAAGAGTTCTTTAAAGAAAACCAACATTTTTCAAGAAAAATCTTGAAGAAATCTATTGACAGCAGCTTTGGTAACCTGACCTTAACTAACTGAACCATTTAGGCTCAAGAAAGTAGAACCTTGAGGACAGGTAGGTTGATAGAAAAATAAATCTCACAAAATTATGTGGTGGCACTCAGAATGTTATAAAGCAGTATTCATTTGCAAAGAGTGCCAGGTGATTAGCAATGGCTTGCTATGCAGTCATCACATTGCCAAATGATCAAGAATTAGAAAAACAGACAAATACCTCTAACTGATTACTGGCATTAAATTTTGTACTAAGTTTCATCGAACCTAAAAGTCCTTTATTTTCGGTTCACAATTGCCTCAAAATTGCTATATGTCCATTGGAACTTAATTGCTTAAATCGAAAAGAATTTATGTAAAATCCATAACCATAATGGCAGGCAGATATGCTCAAATTTCAACCTTGCCAAAACATATTCCAAGACTAATGCAAACACCCCGACCGCCTTTCCCGAAAAGAGGCAGAAGAATAGATGGAAAAACGAAAGCTTAGTGGCTTAACATTTCAGCACAGAAATTCAGGGGAGTGAATCTATAATTACTCTCTGCAAAAGGCAAAGGACGAAAGGCTGCAAAAAATATAGGCAGATGATGGGAAAAGAGACCTAATAGCCCAAGAAAAATTACATGAAAGAGCATAAACTTCACTAAGAGTTCAACAAGAAAATCAAGAGCAAGTTGCAAATGTTTGTTCCATCAGCATAAACTAAAAGAGCTCAGCCCTGACTGTTATAACTGGTCAAAGCTGAATCCATTAAACTGTTCCTGCATTCATTGCACTTGATATGGAGCAGTGGATGGTAATCGCACAATGAACAAGCTAAATACAGAACACTGAGGGCCTCTTTTTATTATTTCTCTGGTCTCAGATCTATTGATTAACAGCAGTCAATGATGATATTGTAAATTCATCACTGCAAACAAAATGAAAAGCTTAAGCCTCCCTGGTTGATATCACATATTATGTGTCATGACATAAAGAAAAGGATAGAACAAAGGGAGGAAAAAAGAAATTTCTCTACCTACAGAAAGGTGGCTGAAAAGTCATTGGTAATCAACATTTTAGGCAAGAAATGCAGAACAAGCTCTTCTGACAACGCAAGACAAATGTATAAGCCTTTTTGTCATCTTACTCTGCTAATATCATTTCCAAATGTTGTTGTAAACGAAAGCAACAAACCACAATAAGAGGATGTTAAGAACACTGAAACTGCTGTCTTGCAAGCAGCAGCAAAGCAAATTTGAGAATTGGAGGATAAGTTTCCATTGAAATTAATTTCTTATGTCAAATTACAGCTCAATTATTTGCTTCCTCAAGACTTCCACACACACACACACACACACACACACACACACAAGTGCAAAACAACAAACAACTTAGTACAGTATAAACATAAAAGGCAATATCAACATATACTAGTGGAAAGAATGGGAATAAGCATATATGTTCTATTGGGTCAGCAGATCTACAAAACTCAACAACATCGACAACAAAAACAATAGTAAACTACTATTAATATATATAGATACAGTTTTCATATGCACTTCAACTACAATAGAAACAAAAACAATTATTGAGATATCGATCTGAAAAGCAATTCAAAGAAAGAAAAAAGGGGGGGGGGGTTTGGTGAATCAAATCAGAGAAGCACCTGCCAAAGATCATGAAGCTCGAGAGTGTGACCCTCCTGAAGCAGATGAGGTAATGACAAGTTACGCTTGTTTCCCATCTCCCATCTCAGTACATTTTTGGCATCATCCACCACATAATAACAGTAGTCGCAACTGAAGTGACATGGCACGGCAATCGTTGCAGTCCAAATGAGCTCATCACCTTGATGAACAGGACTCAGCAACAACCCTTTCTTAACGTTCCATGAACCAAGCATCGGTTCGGAGCCACAAACAACCAGGCTTTGGCCCCATTCCGTGTAATACGGAATTCTAAACTTGAGTTTCACAGATTTCAATGACTTCGTTGCTGAAAACAATCCCGAATTCGCCATTTCTTCCTCAAATAGATTGCACCCAGAATCCAAGATCAGACGTTATTTCTCAAATTCTACAAACTAATGAATTCAAACAACACGTCCAAATTCACACACACAAACAGACCTTTACTTAATTTGAAAGTTGTAAGCATCTATCTATCTATCTATCTTATCCAGTACCCTCTAAAGGAATGGTGAAGTGTTAATCTAAAAATAAAAAATAATATATTACTGTTATTATTGTAATGAAAGAGTAACGAAGGAAAGCTGGGAAAAGCAGTGGGTTTGTCCGCTTCTCTCGTCTTTGTGTAGAATAAAATACCTATTTTATCATTTTGTGTGTAGATTTTTTTCAGAAAGAAAGTTTAAATCGAGAATTGAAACGACATATAATTTTGTCTTCCTAATGTCGTGTTTGGGAATGGACGGAAGCTAGTGGCAGCCTGAAAATTGCAATTACAATCACATTCATTCACGGGAGAGGCGAGAGCGACAGCCTGACAGTTGGCTACTTCAGTTACCTGATTTGATATTATAAATTAGAAGAAAATTCCAGAAAAAATAATATAAAACAGAAATTTTTATTAATTGACGTCTTGGTTAAATACAATTAATAAAATAATTATAAATTATAAATTATTTTATAAAAAATAAAAATTATATTTAAAGTATAATTTAGAAGAAAATAATGTCACGTTTAATGATTTACGTAATTACAGATAGATAATAGATAAGTACATGAGCTTGCCTTTTCATAACATGTCATTGTTTCCTCGTGATTTTGTTTATCTTTAAGTTTTCTTCTATAAAATTAGTTTCATATAATATAATCTAATTTGATTTGAATTAAATTTTATTGATTTAATTTATTAATTTTTATATATTATTTTAATAAAATTTTTAATATATTTAAATAAATTTAAGTATAAAATAATTATTTTTATTTTATAAAAATTTAAAAATATATAAAATTAATAAAAATATATATTTATTTTCTTTCAATTTTTTTACTTTTCGATTTAAAATTTAATCCAAACTTTTACATTTAATTACTAAACATAATCTTAATCGAATAAAAAAAATTAATCTAAATCAAATATTACAATTTTAAATTAATTTTTTATATTTTCAATTTTTTTTAGCCCCCGAATTAAAATTATTGCAATAATATACCGTTATAATTAAAATATAAATTTATCTCAAATAAAGTTCAAAAACTTTTTTATTATTATTTTGACCTAAGAAACCCAATAATCACGCAAGAAATCAGATTAGAACACCTACATCTAATAAGTTATTGAGGATAAAATATGCTCAAACCCAAATCTAATATGCCACAAATTTCAATAAACATGGAGTAAGTCTGTCCAGAAACAATGATTCTATAAAAACCACCCAGATCTATTGAGTTTGAAGGGAAATTTTGGAGATGGGTACATGGAAAATAGCGGCAACGCATATAGATTAGTTTTATTTTATTTTATTTTTGCCCACTTTGATTTCTGCAAAACCGAATAGACAAAAGAGCGGCGGCAATCACATAATCAAGGGCCTGCCACCAATGTGACTTTGACCTGAAAATGCTGCCACTACAAATATTTACAACATGAAAACAGCATATATGATTCCACTCCGACACGAGGGCACGCCCTTTGCGTTGCTCGCATCCACACAACTCTAGTTGGTACAGCTCCTTTAATTTTGGATTATACAATTTGACTCCCTCAAATACAAATGAAGTTATTCTAACTAGAAAATAGCTTGTTACTACTCTGTTGTTATAAATGGAATATAATAGCTAATACAAGTGACAGCCACCATTGCATAGTTGGTAGACCTGCAGAGGCTGCAAAAGGATAGATATTAACATACATGCATAAAAGTGTCATGGCCGCAGTGTAATGGATCTAAGCAAATTCTGGTTTAAATATCAAGCAAGCTCTAATGGTATACAACCAATGTAAGAAGAAAATGTAGAGCATGGATCTAAATATGAATTAAACTAACCACTATAATGATTCTTAAACTTCTAGAAATGACAGTAAAAGTTCAAACATATCATGAAAATAGCCAAGCATGGATGTAAATATGAATCAAACTGACCACTGTAATGATTCTTGAACATCTAGAAATGACTGTAAAGTTCAATAGTTAAGTATCTAATCAGAGTAAAAATCACCTCATGACAAAAACAATCTTCAGACATCATCTTGAATGGAGAAAATTGTGAGATGATTTATGATCATAACGTTATCATGCAGCACTAGGCTAAGATGTGAAAATAATAGCGTTAACTATTCGTAAAGCATCATTTACTCACCTAACGATGCCAATGTTGATGGCAAAACTGAAGGCGCTCTGTCAGGATCCTCTTTATTTGGTTTACTCATTGATGGAGCCTCAACATGAGCAAACACTACATTTGGCAGTGGACTAGATGTGGGAACCAAATGGGAGATGGGCCTGCATTTAGGTTTGGGTGCCAATGCAGATGGGTGTATGTGTGGCAAATCAGCAGAATGGTGAGGAGAAATTTTGGGTGCACCAACAGGGGCTAAATTAGACTCCTGTCCAGTCTTCCCCTTGATCCTTTTATTCCTGTCTTGGCAACCTGAAGGATTTGCCAAGCAATTCCATGGAGATCCAGGTGAAATCATCTTAGGAGAAGGTGAGTAATCTGCAGGTGCGGGTACACCTTTCTCAGTTGATGTAGCAGGTGAAACTGCAGGAGCTAGATAAGCAATGTGGTGGTGATGGTGATGGTGATGGTGATGGTGATGGTGATGGTGATGGTGATGGTGGAGGTGGTGGTGATGGTGGTGATGGTGATGATGATGATGATTGTGGCTGGGATGAGGTAACGGGGCAGGAGAAGGGGACCACGAGTTTGAATTGCCATCACTTCCATTAAGGGAATGTTGCAAAATGGATGAAAGCCGAACTTGCTTAACTCTACCAAATACACTGTTGTTCAGGCCAAGGTTTCTTGAATGAGAACCTGTGATGGTTTGAGCTAGTTGCTTCAATCTTGGCATTGATGGAGCATTCCCCACAGCCAATAGAACAGTAGACTGGACTATTGTGGGAGGAGCAACTGTGGAGCCTTCAGAATTAGACAACCTAACATACAAATTCTAAAATTCACAAAACAAAACCATCAGTTTCTGCGTAAGAGATGCTATAGCTAACAAAATCTCTTACAGCATGTAACAAGCTTTAATCTTTTCTCCATAAAATCTAAGCAATAAAATGCAAAAAAATAAATAAGTAAATAACAAATCAAAATCAAGAGAAAAGGAAAATATTGCCAAACCTCATACGGGGCTAGACGCAATCCAGCGTTCAGCTGGCTTGTCAGTTCGTCAAAATTTACTTGTATTTCATAAATAGAAAAGTTTAAGGTAAAGTTGAAAGGGATTTGTACTTTCTGCAGAAGAAACGCACTTTGAGGGGGAATTATAGTAATTCCTTCAGGGAATTTTAGCACCTCGAAGAATAATGGATCCCCAAACAAGGATTTAGTCAAGCGTAGAGGTGGTTGGCGTATAACCAAAGATTCAAATGATGCCCTTATCAAACTTAGAGCAGTTGAAGATATCTTATAATATCCTACATCAGGATCAACCCCGAAGACAACATTTGTTATCTTTGATCCAGTTAAAGGTTTGAGAGATAAGATAACCACCTGGTTCAAAGAACTAATCAGATGTAGGCAAAATTTGTGTGAAGTACATATATTAACAAAGGATCAAAGTACATACTTTGCTTGTGGGAAAGCCTATCTCATCAAAAATGTCACTTTCAAGCTGCAAGAGATTGTCTTCCAGCAAAGAAACCGGCTTCTGAACATTAAAACTTGCTACAATATCATGACCTGGACAAATAAAGATCTGTCAGTATAAAAATTTGAGCCAAACAAAGTTGCATACAATTATAATATGTTTATTATGATTCTAAATTCAAGTGGTCTAACCCAACCCCACAGAAAAGATGAAATTGCCGATCCTATTGGCCACTTCAGTAAGATCACAATATATACAACTACCATAAAATTACCATAATGAATGCAAAGGTTAAGGACCAAGTTGATACATCAATGATGAGTCTCAAACCTTAGAAAGGAATTAGGAGATTCCTTTCAGTAGAATTCCATCTAAAACCAATACCAATCATCTAACAATGAATAACATAATAAAATTACTCCCAGCAAACCACTAATTCTTTTACTCCTAGACAACATCTGTACAGAGCTCAACAAAACTGCAAGTCCAAAAGGCTCTTCATGTTAATTGATTGATGTGGGTATAAAAACAGTGATTAGATGATCTTGAGTGATACAGAACTGCCATTTTTCTTCCTGGAACTTTTTGGTTTTGATGTACTCTGATTATATGCCAGCACCTTGGTAAAACAATTAGCAGAATTGAGTATTATATGTATTGCACGTCTAGATGTAAAGCATGAAGAACATATGCCTAATCAACCTATGAACAAATTTTTATTTCTGCAAGCCAAACTAAATTTTGGTTACAAGAGAAATATAGACGGTGAGATCACAAAAGGAACCTGAACACTACAGCTATTTGATCTGCCATAAAGCACTCCGAGCCTGTTCACAAATGTGCCATATCATAGAATTTACCCTCTTGTTCTTGTAATTATTTATTCCTAGAATAGGCAACAATTTTGATTATAGAGGCTTTCTGCATATTGGTTCATCACTGACTTATTTAGGCATTTTACCATTTGTTCACAAGAATCACAAAAACCTATTAATGCGATTCTATCAATGAAAACTCAAATTTCAACACTTCAGTACCATAGAGAGCTTAGCTTGGTGTCTTTCATATTCAGGTAGCTAAGGGGTTCCTCCCTTAACTCATCTTTGGAGTGCATATGTTCTACCTTCATCCCCTTTCTAACAAGTGGAATCACCCAACATACCTTGTCCGAGAACCACAACCATAACCAGTCCCTTTTTTATTTTCCAAGAAATACTTTAATGACGAGTAGGCCGGCAGCTACTTATCAGTGCCATTAATTATAACCCATAGCCTATACATAAGACCCTTGTGAATCATTTTTTGTAGTCTTTAAAGAATTGCAAATTTATACATAGCTCTTTGTGCTTTTGTCAAAGGTTGAGGAGTGAAATTAAAGCCTATTTTAAGAGCTTTTTACTACTTATTGTCATCATTATTATAAATAGTGCTTTATCTGAAATTTTGAACATTGTATCTATTAGCATTTTTTACCATATAATTTCTTATCAGGAAAATTTTTTTACCATATAATACTTTTTCTTAACAAACCAAAAAGATTTACTTTTCTTAGTGATGATTGTTTTTCCTTTATTTTATTAATTATGCAAGTAGATTAGTACTTTCAAACTTAAAATTTTTATTCTTTGAGCTCAATAGATTCGCGGGGTTATCATACAACAAAATTATCATCTCTCTTGCCAAAAGTTTATAATTTTATATGCTTAGGTCATGTTTGATGCATACAATGATGGATAAGATAGGATAATAATCATCCTATATTATGTTTGGTTTGTATCAAGAGAAAGGATTGGATTGTAAGGAGGATTAATCATCTTCTTCGTATAAGATAATTCAATCCTCCCAAAGTGGATAGGATTATTTTTAATCCATGATATTGAACTGACATATCCTATTATACCCTTAAAAATTAGATCAATAATTTAAATTATATAAACTTTAAGGAAAGATAATTTTGACTAATAAATAAATTATCCTATCCTAGTCCTAGCATACATCAAACACAAAATAGTATGACATAATTTAATTTAATATTAATCATAATATCATTTTACCCTAGCCTATCATAATCTTGTACACCAAACACACCCTTAAAAACTAATATATGGTAGATTTTTTTGTGCTAAATTTTTGCCCTGCATTTACAATATATGGTGACAATATTATATTAGGTGACTTCTCAAGCAGGCTACTGTATGGAAGATATAATAAAATTAAAAAATTAAAAAAAAAAAAAAACTTTGTGTAAACTCTTTCTAATGAGATGACCAATGGATGGATCATGTGAGATATATCAATTTGATAAATTAAACAAAAAATTATAGTTTTTTTTCACTAAATTTATAGTGATTTGTTTATAACATTCTGGTTTCATTCATTTTCAATTGCATTAAATTAAAATTAAATTTGTTTTACAATTTTTTACAACTTTTAATTAATAAATTTCACTTGCATAAGATGATTTTCATTTATTATATAGATTAAATGGCGATTACTAAGGAATCTGACATCACAAAGATTGACAATAAACAAGAAGTATGTTTCAGGTGATAACAAACACTAGTGATATATAAAATGTTGAAGAAAGCAAAGGGTGTAAACCAATTTATATATTTAACAGCCAAGCAGAGTTATAAAAGGAAATTGCTCAAAATAACCACAAGAGTTTCAAAATATTCTCAGGTCATGTGTCAGAAAATAAAAATATTTTGGGGGGAAATATTACTTCATTTCCAACTCCACTATTGCTCAATATGATGAATAGAGAAAAAGTGAATTACTAAATTTGGAAACTCTTGTTTTTTAGTTTGATGAAAAATAAAAAATAAAAATAAAAACAATTGTCCAAAATTTCAGAAAGTGACCAAGAAAAGGGAGTTTCCAAATTCATTCATCTTATTTATTGATTATATGTAGAGTAAAAGAGTAAGGAATGGAAAACATTTTCACAAGCTAAAAATTAAAAAAAAAAAGTTTCATTATTTCCTATTCAAACATTCCCTGTAACACCCAAAAATAACTCAGCAAATTTGAAAACACATAGAAGAAGAAACAAAAAACCAGATCCATTCATATAATAAAATGACAATATATATTTGAAAAGAAAAAGACAAAGAAAAAGAGCGGACCTTTGAACTGGGAATCAAGATCCAGATCAGACTGATCTGAAAAATGAAGAAAAGGGGGCAGCCAAAATAAAGCAGAAAGGAAGAGGGCAAGAGAAAAGAGCAGGATGAGGAAGCATCGAAGGCTAAAGAGAGATCTTTTGGATCCACATGCAGCAAATCTGAAGCTCAAGCTTGAAATTGGAGGAGCCGCAGCCTCCACTGATACCTCACTGCTCACACTTGAACTCAACCTCTGCTCTTCCTCAACTTTTCCCATAATGCACCATCTGCCTCATGCTCCATTCCCTCCCTGATCTGCTTCTGCCGCTGTCTTTGCTGCTACCATATTCACTTTTCACCACCAATTTTTACACATTTCCAATTTCTAAGAGCCAGACAATAATTTTTTTTTAATTATTCTTCCTTTCTGGTTCTTTATTTATTTATCATTATTAATTTTCTTTTGTACTTAAAGATAACAAAAATATGTGTAGGGTTTGAAGATGATGAAAAAAGAACTGAAGTCTTTCTTTTTTTCGAAAAAATAAATAATAAAAAAACTTTTAAATGGAAGAAGACAAGGAAGCTGTGCCAGTGGTCTTTTTTCAGAGTTTCCTTTTCTTTCTTTTTTTTTTTTTTTGCAATTTTTTTTCAAATTTTAATCCACCGCTATCCTTCTCAACCTTTATATATTAAACTCTTCCAACACGCAAAAACACAAATTCCAAGTGTCATTTTAACTTTCATGTCTGAATTAATATTTAATTATTTTCTTTTTAATGTCAGCTTTCAATTTATTTTTTTAAAATATAATGCAATTATAGTGAAAACATGAAATTTTTAATTTTTTATATTTAAGATTAAAAAAAAAAAAAGACCATTTCCAATATTTAGCTCAATTGTTATTACACATTATTATTTTTTTACTCATGCTTTAATTAGTTAGTTTTTATTTTAGAATATAAACACCAATTTATCATTCTATTTAAATATAAATAGTTCAAATTTACTGTTAATCTTTCAACTCATTTATTATTATACTTTTAATTGTGTAATAAATTAACCATCATCCATCCAAACTATCTCATTAAAAGAATCTTTTAGGCTTGTAAAGGTAACAAATGTTTTTTACTTTTATTCGGTGGGCTTGGTGTGTGTGGGATAGTTGGTTGAAGGTTTATGCCTTAATTGAAGAAAGGACAACCGTTTTAATCATTTTAATTTTAAATTTGATAATTTATTATTCTAAAAATTTTAGTCTGTAGACAAAAAAGATTGATATTAAAAAAGGAAGGTTGCTGCGGCAACATATTATTAGCACAGTGTTTCCGCCTCAAATTTCTTATTATCCTGTTTTTTCACTTTAAATTTGTGTGAACTATTTTTAGAGGTTAGACACTTTAATAATGGAACATTTGCGGTAAGTTAGCATGTTGATCTTAAAGGATTGGTGTTTGAATTAAAAGAAAAAAATTTGTAAACAAAATTTCGTACCCAACTTGATTGCATGCTTGTTGGATATCATGATATCAATGGTTGATCATGTGTTTGTGATTGAAAAAATTACACACAATTGTGAAGACATAACATACCTTATTCTTTAGTCTCAAGTGTTGAGAAACCATAAAGAATTAAAAAATGAGTCCTGCTATCGCAACACACGATTAGCATAGTGTTTTGACCTAAAGGTTCTTACCAGTTTTATGAAGATTCTTTCATTCCAAGCTAGTGTGGACTATCAATACAGGCTAGACGTTTAGATAGCTGAATGTTTGCCACAATCTAGTTTGGTGATCTTGAAAGATTGGTGTTCGAATCAAAAGAAGAAATTTTTTAAGGAAAATTTTGTACCTTACCTGATTGCATTGCTTGTTGTTTATCATGATATTAATGCTTGATCTTGTGTTTGAGATTGAAAAAAATTAAAATTTCGCTACATATACATGCATAAACTATGTTCAAATCCCAACAATCACTACCAATACTACTAGCATTGTATCTGGCCATAAAAGTTCTTTCCATCCTTCAAGAAGGCTTTTTCACTCTTTATACTTGTGGACTTTTATTAGACGCTAGACATTTGGATTGCTAAAGGTTTACGACAACCTAACTTAGTGATCTTGGAGGATTAGTATTTGGTGTAGGCGAAGAAACTTTATAAGCAAAATTCTTCACCTTACTCACATGCATTCGTGTTATGTATTATGAAATCAATACTTTATCTTATGTTTGGGATTAAAAATTTTTAAAATTTTATTACGTAGGCCTCAATTATGTTCAAATCCTAACAGAAAATTCATCAATGATAAAGATATATTAGCATTCATCTAAAGTAGTTATTAATGTTAAGGCAAAAAAAAGCTCAAAGGTTGACATGAAGGCTCAATTAACAATTACATGAAGTGTAAAGGAGCATAAGGGATGATTATCACCGTTTATCAAGCATGAGAAGGAAAATAAGTTAGTGGGCATTAGTTAAGCTTACGAACTTTCTAGAATTTTTATTATTTTATGTCATAATATATATATATATCTTAGTGTCACGGACTTAAGGAGAAGTTTTGAATCCCACATCGGATATAAAAGGAAGGTTACTGGGGTATATAAGGGTTCACACTACTTCTGCATTGTAAGGCATCTTTTGTAGGATAAAATCGTGAGGCCAAGGGAGCCAGAGGGGACAATACCTCACAAGAGTGTAAACCTTGGTGGTCAGGTTGATCTGAAAAGTCGGATGGGTGGATGCCCGAGTCTCGGAGTCGCGTGAGTCGGAGCTTAAGTCTCGACCCGTAACACTAGAACTAAATAATTAGATACAACATATACAATCACTATCAATCTTTTTTAATTAGGTGTAATTGGTCATTTATTTTAAGATTATCATAAGTTTAACCTAAAGGTTCCTAAAAAAGATAGGTTCTAGTTTTTTAAACAGAACTGGGTTTAAGAGTTTAGTTATATGTAAGAAATGTTATAGCACCCTTATAATGCCTATAAATTAATATCAGTTAATCTTAAATTATCTTTTTAGCCTTAATTCAATGGCCTATTATTCCTAATTCATTTTTATTTTTTTATTTTTTTGTTAATTTATTATAAATTTTAATATTTAAATATTAAAAATATTTTAAAGTTTTTTCCAATACTTTTAACCTTTTAAAAATATTTCTCGCATCAAGAATATTAAGTAACACATTTATTTCTATGAAGAAGTTTCATCATCGGATTTATTAAATATTTTATAGAATTCGATACATATAAAATACACAATTCACTAAAATAAAATACATAATTCAATAAATACATAAATAACTTACACAATTTAATAAAATACATAAAAAAATACACAAAAATTCAATAATCATGTAATCACAATTTAATTAATCATGCATATAAAATTGTCATAATTTATTCCCAATTTTAATTTTTTTAAATTAGAAATAAATAAAATTTCTTATATTGAGATTAATTTTTAAATTGTCCAACGCTTTGATCAAATTTAAAAAAAAATCCTTTCACCTAAATTTTTTTTAAAAAATTACATGTTTGTGATTTCTTAGAATTTCATCATTGGGTAAAGTTTTATTTATCCCTAATTCTTTTATTTTATTTTACAAATTAGTTAAACAAATATATAAACATAACAATTAATAAATAATTTAATAAATTAACCAAAATAAATAAATAAATAAAAAAAAAAGAAAAAAACATAATTTTTACCAAAGGATTCGGCTTAATTTGGCAAAGGTACGGTGCGACTTGGTTGTAAAAACAAAAAAGAGAAGCTAGAATATTCAACTTGATTCAACTACAACTTGCTTCTCAGCAGAAGGAAGTGGGTTAATAGATAAAGTGTGATCGAATTGAGTTTGAAAATGGGAAGTCACTTGAATCCCTTTTGGTTATTGAAACAGTGAATTTTGGGGTAATATAAAAGCCAACTTTATTGTTTTAATCTTTTGCTTTTCTGTTTCCTTTTTCTCTTTCTAGATTTTTTTCCATTTTCTCTTTAGGAATCCTTTGAATACTAGTTGATTTTTGCAAATCTCGCTGGGAACTTCAAGATTCAGCTAGAAACATGATAAAAAAACTCAAATTCTTGCCAAAATTTGGAAAAAACCCATATTAAACAAAAATAGATTTCGATTCTTTTTTCCTTTTTTGATTCTAAGTCCCTTAAACCTCTTTTCAATTTAAATCCCAACTTCAAAACTGATTCAAACCTCCCCCAAAATATTTCCAAATTTGATTTCTTAGAAAACATTTTTTTTTACTGCACTACACTCTCACAACTTTTTCCTTGTTTCTCTTTTCTAACCTTTTTCTGATAGTTTCTAATTGATTTTCACAACTGTTAATGGGATCCTTCTATAGGCCTCTAATCCTAATTCCATAAGGACAATGTCTTCTTGATTTATAATCTCCTAATCAAACCTAATCCTAGACTTTTAACCTACGTCTCCTTCTTGTCTTTCTTCCTAAATATACTTATTTATCAATTAAACTTTTAGTTCAACCTCATAATTTCATTCTAGACCAAACTTTTTTTTTATTTATTTTTTGTAATTAATCAAATTGCTCAAAATAAAATAGAAAATAATAATAAAAATAATCTAACCTATAAACATTTAGTCTTAAAACATAAAATTAGCCCTAGACTAAATAAGGTATTTATAGTTATCCCTCTTTGCGTCCTTTCTATAAAATAAGAATTATGCAAAGATGTAAACAGCCCTTATGTCCAGATAATTGACTCAACAATTTTTTCTTGTTTGTTTTTTTTTAAAAGACTTTTTTAAACAAAAACTTAAAGACTTTTTTAATGACATAAAAGGCTCTTTTAAATAGAAGCTTAACAATTTCAAAAAATTAACCAAAATAAATAAAAAAATAATAAAAAAAACATAATTTTTACCAAAAGAATCGGCTCGATTTGACAAAGGTACAGTGCGACTTGGCTATAAAAACAAAAAAGAGCAGTTGGGATATTCAACTTGGTTCAACTATGACTTGGCTCTCAGTAGAAGGAAATGCGTTAATGGGCAGAGCATGACCGAATCGAGTATGAAAATGGGAAGATACTTGAATCCCTTTTGGTTATTAAAATAGTGAGTTTAAGGGTAATATAAGAGCCAACTTTGTTGTTTTCATATTTTGCTTTTCTATTTTCTTTTTCTCTTTCTAGATTTTTTCTCTAATTTCTCTTTAGAAATTCTTTGAATACTCATCGATTTCTGCAAATCTCACTGGGAACTTCAAGATTAGGTTGGAAACATAATTAAAAACCTCAAATTCTTGCCGAAACTTGGAAAAAACCCATATTTAAAAAAAAAACAGATTTCGATTCTTTTTTCCTTTTTTGATTCTAAGTCCCTTAAACCCCTTCTCAATTTAAATCCCAACTTCAAAATTGATTCAAATCTCCCAAAAAATATTTCCAAATTTGATTTCTTAGAAAACTTTTTT